AAGGGTTAGCAGGTTAGTCCTAGGCAATTATCGAAGGTCTAATTGCTTAGCTAGGCGATAGCTAATAAGGGCACTAACTGAATTTCCGGGGTCTAGTATAACCTTTGCCTTATAGTTAGTATCGGGCCTAGATATAAGACAGGTACGTGTAATAGCTAGCACAATGTCGATAGTCTTACGCCGTACGAGGCTAACAGTTAGTACGGCGCTTACTCTTTTTTCGAAGGTTGGCCTACAGGGGTAGCGTTAGCTGCTAAGAGGTGCTTTCGGTGCTTAGCGGCAGCACGGTCGATTCGGGCCTAGTCCTTAGGTTTGTTACATTAGCCTAGTAGATAGCTAGTGCTATTACAATTGAAGCACTTCAATCCGGTTAGTAGACCGCCGTAGCTGTTGTTGCTACTATTATTAGTCGAGCGGTTAGCATTGTAGGGATACGAGCCCCTTCTACGGCCCCTATCGCGGCCTCCTCTATATAGCCGCCGGCTACGGCCTCTTCCTCGGTCGTTATTACTGTTCCTATTATTAGCACTATTGTTCTAGTAGGAACCTTAGTTTCCTCCGCGGCTACGATAGGTAGCTAGGCGTATCTTGGATTCTAACCGTTGTTAGAGCTATACTGCACGCTCTATAGTCTCGACTTCAACTATGAATTAAATGCGTATAAGATTGGTCTGTTCAAACACACGGCGGCGGTCTAATTCAAGGACCAATTCCTATCGCAATTTAGGGCGTATTTCGGAAATCTAGATAGAATCGGTCTTAGCTAGCAAATCGTCCTCGAGGGTCTTTAAATAGGCCTTAAATGAACGGGCTGATTAATTAGTCTTTTGCTTAGCCCGAAGGTACTAGTCCTAAGCGTATTATTGCCTCAGTATAGGGTTTCCAAGGGTGTCTAGTATAATGGTTTTATAGGTTTGCTACTAAACAGCGGTCTAATCAGTAAGGGAGTTAAAGTAGTTATCCTAGGTACGCTTTAGGTCTCTATTAATGTATTGCATAGTATAGACGACTAGCGAATAGTCGTCGGGCAGGGCCCTTAGTGCATTCCGCTAGTTCAATTCACAATTACGTACGTAATTATTGTACTGCTTGCGGCTAGAGCTATTAAATACGGTATAGTCCTTGAGTTTAGCATCCTTCTTCTAGACTAGGACTAATAGTAAGGAAGGCCCTACTGTCGGCTTAGTGTTAGTTATTAGGGCCTCCTAAAGGCGGCGAATTTCGAGGAGGTTGTCCTTTAGCTGTTGTTCTTAACGTAGGGCGGTAAGCCTATTTTGGGTAGCTTCTTAAAGTCTCGCTACTAGCTAAGGACTAAAGGCTAGTTAGCTATATCGACGATTAACAATATTGCTAAGAATATCGTCGACAGGCAATTCTAGGTCGTTACCTAGAACTACAGGTTCTTCGGCAGGCCTAGTAGTAGGCTCTTTAGCAGGCACCTTAGCAGGTGCTTTAGCAGGCACTTTAGTAGGTACTGTGCTACTAGCGTTGTTATTGCTAGCGCTGCTAGCGGCAGTACGGTTGTTGTTTCGTAATAAACCGGCTATTATAAGGGGCGATACTAATAATATATTGTTAGCCCCTAAGATACGGATGTAGCGGAATTAGCGAGTATCGGTCTAATGTGCTTAACTTAGTATAATAGGCCGTGTAGAAGGCCTTGCTTAATAATTAGTACGGTTGTTTTAGTAGAATAGTGCGTGTAGGTCCCGTTCTTCGGGCGTAATATAGTTAAATCGATAGTTTTCGTAGCTATACCGCTAAAAGCTTGAAATAAGGACTATCTAGCTACTGCCCTTAAAGGGTAGATCGAATACTGTATAAGAAGGGTATATTAGCAGGTAGATAGGGTGGTAGTAGGTACGAGTAGTATTCGATAAGGATCTAGAAAGAGAGGGAGGAAGGCAGGCAAGTTAGCCTAACGCTAAGCGCTAAGCCCTGCCTAAGGCACCGAGACCCCGGCTTCACTCGGCCTAACTACATGCTAATCACGTGTAGCCTCTTTAGCCCTAACATATACTAACTATCGTAGCGTGCTTCGTGTTACTACTAAACCGGACAGGAATGTAATAGCCTTCGTATTTAATAAGCAATAAAGGGTTATTAACTATATATATACTAGTACCTAAGTCGACAACCTAATTAGTAGTCCGAGTGTTAGCAGTAAGAGCCGTAGACACCTAGTCGCTAATAGTAACTATAGTGTTTGTAGTAAAGGCGTAATTGTAGCTTAGGTCTAATAATACCCCCGGGGTAGCATTAGCCGTATATAGCCCCTAAGTACTATTCTAACTAGATAGCGGTTGTTGCTATTGCTAAGCAGTTAGTCTACGCTGCTACTATTGCTACTGCACCCCCTTCTTCTTAGCCTTCTACTATTTACGACGTAGTCGGTCTTCCTTCTTTAGGTAAGAGTACTTAGTATAGCAGCGGTTAGAAGGGTGTAACCCCTAACAATAGGCGCACTTCTTACGGTTAGACTAATAACTATTCTAGTTGCTTCTACCGCGGCTACGACTATTGTTATTATTTCCGCGGCTACTACGACCGCTATAGCTCGAGTTACCTCGACCGCTATTATTATTGCTATTGCTACCTTGCTATTATAGTTGGCGCTAAAGACTAAAGAAGCCATTATATTAGGCCTAGTTTAATTAAGCTACATTCTTATTAAGCAATATGCTAATAATATTATTAAGTGTGTTATCGTTAATAGTATATTCGGAGGCGCGTATCTGCTCTCGGCGTATCTATACGAAAGCCTCGTAGAATAGAGAGATCTATATAATAAATATATAGATAGCCTAGTATTAGCTAATAGCTAATTTAGTATCCTTTAAGGCACTAAGCTTCTTCTTATACTTATTACAGAACTTCTTAATGTCCTTGCTATTATACCGAAGGGTAATATATTCCTAGTAGAGCATAAATTTAGTAGACCCACCTTTACTAGTGTATTTCTTATATAGGTAAGTCTATACTTCCTACGATATAGCGAGACTAAGTAACGACTACTAAATCTCGGCGATATAGTTAGCAAAGATCTACGTACGCGCTAATTGATCTTTTGCTTCCTATTTATCTTGTCGGTCTTCAAACTCTAACTAAGTTTTAGAAGACAACTTAACATTAGGCTTTAGGCGGGTCCCTTAGATATAGCGCTATACCTATATACTTTTAAGGGCACCCTTAGCGGTATAAGACTATAATAGATAATTCTCCTTATTCTTTAGCTTAGGAATGTTGCTTATATAAGCGTTAGAGGTTGTAGGGGGAGCTATTGCGGACAGCGACGGCGATAATATAGAAAGAGACTATAGACTTGTCTTAAAAGGCCGCCGATAGGCGCGCCTATATTATATTAGTATAGCGGATAGCCGATACTGTTATTAGGAACTAGTATAGCGGACAGCTAACACCGATAGTAACCGACTCGAGTCGGACTAGTACCTGCTAGAACACTCGAGGGCGGCGAGGGTAGTAGCGACGATAATAGTATTAGCGCAATTTTTAGTAACAAGCGCTATCTACGTAGCAGTCGGATTGACTATTAGAATACGTATAGAATGCGTTAGAAACGCAGGGGGCTTATAACCACTTGATGTAACTAATGTATTAGGAAGAAGGACTAATCTATATAGAAGTCCGAAGATGAAGTGCAGCAGTTGCAGCCTCAGGCATTAGGCACGTGATGGACCCTGACACCTGGACACACACTCCAAGTGAGAGACAAAGCCTTGCGCGGTCAGGCAGGAAGCAGGAAGCAGGAAGCGAACATGTGTGCGGCTGCAGGTAGCGTAGCGTAGGCAGTCAGCAGAAAGGAGAGTGTTGGTTTCAGCATGGACGTAGATTGATGATGAATGGAGCGTCCCAATGCAACTGCTGGCTTCCGGCACACGTTATCATACTGTATCCATTGGTGCGCTCTACCCTTCCACGCCATTTGTCACAAGTTAGGCGGGATCGGTATTCTCGCCGCTGGCAGTCGTTGCAACCTCCACGGCGGTGGGCTGAACGCCAGAAGAAGAACAAAGTGGGGGAACAATCAAGTCGATTCCGCCCAGAGCAGCGAGCACTTCACTGCTGCTGCATCGAAGCAACACCTCTCCAATATTCGCAGGTCTCGCGCAGTTGACGTGAGCAGGGCCGGAAGCAGGCGGCGGATGCGAAGAATAACATAGGGAGGGAGACGGAAAACGAGGCGGAGTCCAAGCTCACACAGTCACTCTTACTAGTTCTAGAACTAGCCTCCAGGGGACCTGGGCATCTTTCCCGCACACGCACACGCCCACGCACCGCGTCTGAAAGCGCTACGACCCACGCACCACCTGCAGCATCGAAAGGCGACGTAAAGTCTGAATCTGCACTCGCACCCGTCCAACACCGCCGTCGCCCCTCAGACGGCGTGGGAACATCTGCTCTGAGCACGCACTGCGCCGCCTCTTTCAGCGACGCTCCGGCACGTTTCCGTGATTGGCCCAAACGAAAGCAGCAGACGCAACAACAGCAGCAGCCATCGCCGGCTCCCTGGCTTCCACCTGCCCTGCGGCATCACAAATGGGAGTCGTCGGCTGCTCATAACGACTGTGGACTCGTGCCAGTGTCTGTGACACCGCAGCGCCGCGCCGCGCCGCATGAACATTAACATGGCGGGCCTCCCGAATGGCGACAGATTTGACCCGCAGACAATACCGCGTCCAGGGCTCTACTCACAGCACTCGAATTCCGTCCCCTCCACCCCCTACCAGAAGCCGCGAGACCTAAGATTCCATTCGAGATCGCCCTCGCCCAACAGAGGTATTGCTAGCCAGTCGCCGCGCTCAGTGGTGTCCGAGGCCGTGGGCACACAGACTGCCAACCGCACGCAACCTGTCGTCTGCAAGTATGAGACGGGCGATGAGATCAGGAAACGACGGATACCGTACGTCGATGGCGGCAATGAAGAGCTGGGTCCGCCAAAGAAGGAGCCTAAGAAGACTCTGCAGCCCGATGAACAGGAGAAGCTTAGTGGCGACATGCGTGAACTCTACGACCGGTTACTGCCATCCGAAGAGAGCGAAAAGAGGCGCACGAAGTTGTTGGAGAAGTTGGATCGAATATTGAACGACAAGTGGCCCGGCAATGACATTCGTGTCAATGTCTTTGGATCCTCAGGGAATCTGCTAAGCTCTACAGACTCCGACGTGGACATTTGCATCACAACCACGCTGGATGTGTCTATGCATGCCCTGTCCGCACTGCTGGCGAGTCGTATGTTGCACCAAACCTCTGCTAGAGCTGGCTTCAGCTGTCGTGACTGTGGCTGACTGCTTAATTTAGATGGCATGCAAAAGGTAGTTTGCCGCGCTGCAGCCAAAGTGCCCATCGTGAAATGTTGGGATCCCGAATTGCAGCTCGCGGCCGATCTAAATGTCAACAACACACTCGCCTTGCAGAATACGCGCATGATCAAGGTGTACATTCAGCTGGATAAACGAGTTCGGCCCTTGGCGAAGATCATCAAGTACTGGACTAAGCGTCGGTTGCTGAATGACGCTGGTAAGCGAATCTGTCCTCACAACGAGCCTTTGACTCCCACTTTACTGACCCCACTGCAGCATTTGGAGGCACAATTAGTTCATATACTTGGATATGTATGATCATCAGCTTCCTGCAGAGGCGGAATCCACCGATCTTGCCATCGCTGCAGCAGATGCGCGACTGTCGAAGAAAGACAGAGACCGGCGAGACCTCTCCCTTCGCTGACGATCTGGATGCGCTACGAGCCAAGGAGTTTGGTAAAAGCAATTCAGAGTCGCTAGGCGAGCTCCTCTTCCAATTTTTTCGACATTATGGATTCGAGTTCGAATTCGGAAAGTATGTTGTCTCCGTCAAGGAAGGTCGGCTGCTCTCCCGGAAAGAAAAAGGCTGGGATCCCAAAACGAATTGGCAAGACAAGGAATCACGAAATCGCCTGTGTGTCGAGGAGCCATTCACCGCGAATCGAAATCTTGGAAATTCTGCCGACGACTATGCGTGGCATGGAATACATCTGGAAATACGGCGTGCTTTTGATCTGCTTGAAGATGGATTGCAGCTGGAAAAGTGCTGCGAACAGTTCGAATTCCCGCCGGAGGAGAGCAGGCCGATCTTCCAAAGACCGCCTCCCAAGCCGAAACCTACACTGACGAGGAGTGTTTCGCAATCGAATCGAACAAATCATGAGCCAGGATCAGGCAGGTCGGGCAAGCGCAACAACAGAAATCAGTCAAGCCAGCGAAGCGGAAATAGACGTGCATCAAGTGGAGCTTCATTCGCGAATTCACGGCAAGCTTTCAGTCCGCAGCTTGGCTCGAATCCTGGCGACTATTTCAATATGAAAGGAAATCTGCACGAGCAGCTGTACCAGCAGTACCAGTTTCTCCAAGCACAGCAGGAGCATCTCCGACAACAGCTTGCCATGCACACACAAGCTACGGCTGCCCAAGGTCGCGTGGGTGACCTCGCTGGCGCAGGCTCTCCGCGGCCGCGACAGTTCGTTCATGGCAGCCTTCCCAGTCCTCGTGTGGCCGATCATCCGCCACAGACAGCGCCCTTGTTGCAGGGCAGCTACCTTTATCATTATCCACAGCGAGCTTACCCGCCTCCATCTCCCATGTCGCAGGCTCGATCGCGAGAGAGCACGGGTACCAACACCAACCCATCGTCGCCTTCCCTGGTTGCGGCAGTTCCAGCGTTGCGAAGAAATGGACACCGTGCATCAGTGCCGGATGGCTCAGCTAGTTCTGTTAGGTCACAGTCCCAGCCAGGCCGCTCGTTACCACCCATGCTCACGATGCAGCAACAACTGCAAGCAGGGTACGATTTACCTGGAGTTCTCGGTGCACAGATGACAAGCGTCAGGTCTGCATCGCAGGCCTATCTGCAGGGCCAAGGAATGGCACTCCCGCTGTCGCACTTTCCTGGTGTGCATACAAACGGCCATGCTCTGGACGGCAGTCTACATCAACCCAAGGAGTACGTAGGCTATTACGTTGGACAGTCGCCTCAGCTTGGACCACAGCTGTCCACTTCAAGCAGCCAAATGCTGCCTCCAATGGCACTCAGAGATCCTCCACAAAGGCCGAGAAGGGTTACGCCAGACCTTGCTCCTCCGCTGGTGAACGGCAGGCACAGTTCTCGGTCCCCGTCTCCGCTTGGTCATATGCGAAGCTTTTCGACAACGACCGGTGAGCTTCGCACGAGTCGGTCTACAGCCACTCAAAGCCCAACTTCGTACGATCGCAGAGACTCCATTCCGAATGTGGGTCCCACGATGCCTGTCATTGCCAATGGCGATGTTGGTGGTCCCGTCATTGTGAACGGCTCCAACTCCAACCCTCAGCCTAAGGTGGGTGAGAAAGTCAATGGAATTCCTGGGCCAAGTGTTCAGCTTGACAACGAAGTGTTATCACCGCCACCTCCAGAGGACCTTGCACGCGTTCGCCCATTGACGCTACCCATCCGCACTGACTTCGACCTGCCATCGGAAAGGAGGCCAGGCGATAGGAAGGGTTCAGATGCCGTGTCGCCAACATCACAAACCAAGCCAGATCATCGTGCGACCTTGTCGCCCAATGGCACAATACCTCATATCAATGGCAGTAGTACTCACTATCCGGAGAGTGGTCCGCTCACGGCACCTTTGCTGTCACCTGTCGCTGAACTTCGTACACCTTCGCCAACACAGTCTCGTGCCTTCGAGAATGCTTCGTCAGAAGCCAATGGGAGCCTGTACAAGGCAACGAAGATTGCTGCTGCGAAGCAGACTGCAAACGAGAACGTGCTTCCAAAGGCAGAGGTCAGACCAACCCACCAGAGAAAAGGCAGTGCACCTATGCTCTCAACTCCGGCGCAAGCTTCGATGCAGCCCAAACTGACAAGTCCACAAACTTCGGCGCCTGCTAAGAACGAATGGCAAACGGCTGGTTCTGTGCGTAATAAGCATAAGAAGAGCAAGTCAAATGTCGGCTCAAAGCCAAATGGTCCTGGAGGACAACCAATGCCTGCTAATGAAGCGGAAAGAAAGGGGGGATGATTGACACTGAATGAGCGTGACTGCGGAAACCTTCCACTCGAGCGACCTACAACACCGGCTAAGCCGTGGATTTGCTGTTGCAGACATTGCAAATCTGCTTCGTGTAGCAGTCACCGAGCCGCTCTTCGATACTGAAGTGGCCAGAGTGGAGCCATAGGGCATGCTATGACGCTCACGCGCATTTTGCTTGCTCTTGAGAAGAGACCGGCGTGCATGTCGAGCCAAGTTGGCATAGCAGACAACAAGGGAGCCGTATAACGGCCGCACTTGATGCACTTTTGTAAAGGGTCTTGGAACGTAACAATCACATGAACGGGAGGCCACGCAAAAGGCGTTCTTTGCATTTATCAATTGACAAAGTCCAGCGTTCGGTCAAGGATAGCCAGTGTAAAGTCACGGCACGCATCGTGTAGAGATATCCAGAGCCCAAGAGGCTGGCGAAACGAATCTATTGTTTGGTGATGGTCGAAGGACCAGAATCTGAAAGACAGTAGCCTGCACAATCTATCGAGGTCCTTTCTATGGCCGAGACATCAGTGCACGTGCGAGAGTCACGTTGCTATTTACCTTTAGAGTTAGGGTTAGAGATTTGTGGTTAGCGGATCTATCCGCGGTCGACCCGCTTATTTAGACTTACGCAGGTCATCCATGCATCGCATCTTGTGGTCATCGTCACTCTCAAGCCGCAGCCTGTGTGACCACTCGTGACTGCTCTGTTCACGAGGCTTAGCTTTCCATACTCATGTCCTATCCTACTCGATAGCGCTCAATGGCACTGGCTGCCACGATTGCCCGCATCTCCTGAGCTGAATCTCAGTCAGCAACCAACTTGTCACGACCCGAGCTCTCGATTCTACCTAAACACTCTCCAAGATGGACCGCCTTCGCAAGATATGGAAGAACGATGATGAGCAAGAGTATGAGCCGCTTGCAAATAGCGAGACGGAAGGGGAGGGGCGTGAAGATGTTCGAACAGGAGGGAAGCCAGCGAGAGCATTCTCGTATGTCGAATACAGCATCTTCCTGCTGCTCGGCATATCCATGCTCTGGGCCTGGAATATGTTCTTAGCGGCCGGACCATACTTCCAACAGCGGTTCCGTGGAAATCGATGGATCTTCGAGAACTTCCAAGCCGCCGAGATCTCAGTCTCAACAGTCACGAATCTCTCAAGCATGCTGATTCTCACGCGAATGCAGGCAGGAGCGAACTACCCAAAGAGAGTCATTGTGAGCTTGTTCATCAACATGACTGTCTTCGCGCTCTTGGCTGCTAGCACGGCGGTCAACGTGGGAGCAGGAGTATACTTTGGCTTCTTGATGGTTATGATGTTCTGCACCAGCTTGGCTACAGGATTCTGTCAGAATGGTGTCTTTGCATATGTGTCGGGCTTTGCAGAGCCGAAGTTCACTCAGGGTATCATGACTGGGCAAGCAGTGGCTGGTGTGTTGCCATGTGTTGCACAGATCATAAGTGTGCTCTCCGTTCAGGCGGCAAAAGGACGTCCCGACCAGCCTACTCATGATTCGCCTCATGGACCTCCACAAGGGCCTCCGCCAGTGAACTGGAAAGCAGCATTGGCATACTTCCTTACTGCGACAGCAATCAGTGTGGCCACCTTCTTTGCCTTTTCTTATCTGGTCGCCAGAAATCGACAGCCGAAGAAACTGCAGAATGCTAGAGGACAGGATGTACCGGAAGACGCTGAGCGAAAGTCGATACCACTTCTCTACCTTCTTAGGAAGCTGATCTGGCTCGCTGGAGGCGTTTTCATCACCTTCGCAGTCACTATGGTATTTCCTGTCTTCACTCAGCAGATCGTATCAGTGCGGCCACCGAGCGAGCAACCAGCGATACTACACCCGCCTAGCTTCGTTCCACTCGCTCTACTATTCTGGAATGCGGGAGATCTACTCGGGCGTCTCATCACTGCTATTCAATCGCTATCTCTAACCCAACGACCTAAGCTTGTCTTTGGCTTGGCTATCGCGCGGTTGATATGGATTGGCGGATACCATCTCTGCAACATCAAAGGTAGAGGAGCCATAGTGGAAAGCGACTTCTTCTACCTTGTTGTTATACAGCTATTCTTCGGCCTCTCCAACGGCTACCTTGGCAGTACGTGCATGATCGGTGCCGGAGAGTGGGTTGAGGAAGACGAACGCGAAGCTGCTGGAGGTTTCATGGGTCTCTGTTTGGTATCAGGACTGACAGTTGGCAGCCTTTTCAGCTTCTTGGTAGCTGGCACTTGAAAAGGAGACGTCTATTTGAGCATAGCATCAATTATGGCATTTATTTAACGGCGCGTTATTGTCCTGAGTCCCAGGAATCAAAGAATCGCACAAACCCCATAGCGCTCAATGCTGCAATGCTGCCGACAAGCAGCATTTGCACTCCGCCCTTTACGCCGAGCCACAAGTTGTCTGGTCCTCCCCAGCCGCTCACGAAACACGTCTTGCCGTATCCAAATGCAAACAAGCTGAAAGCCATGACCATGAATGACCACCACAACGCAAGTTGCACCTCGTCCCTCTGGACCAGAAAATATGGAACCAACGGCAAAAAGCCACCCAAGAAATACCCAGACGCGATCGTGACCGCACACATCACAGCTCGACTCGCAGTCTCCTCCGGCTGCGAATGCTGAAAATGCATCAAAAACTGCACCAAATTCGGGTTCCTCGCCATATTCTCTGCCAACTCATCCATCAACCTCTCCGGCAACTCATACGGCTCAAAAACCTCTGTCACAGAAGCCATCGCATCAGAAGGACTCCTCACCACAGCTCTTCTCGTTGATGCCAAAGCAGCATTATACGAATCTTCCTCAGATTTCGCGGCCAAGTATCCTCCTAATCCCATACTTATGCTACCCGCTGTAAGTTCCGCTAGACCAGCGAAAATCACGACTTTGGTGTTCTCCAGTGCGGAAAGGCCGGCTGTGAGGGCGAAGGGCACTGTGAGGCCATCGGAGAGACCGATTATGGCGTCTGAGATTATTCGCGCTCGGAGACGGGAGGATGTTGCTTGGGGTTGTTTGTGGTATTTTTGCTCGCTGCCCTCTGAGGAATCCTGGGATTCGAGATCGGAGGATGCGGAACTGCTGGATCTTCGTCGAAGAAGACTTTGTCGTTTTTCTTTAATGCCCTTTGATGATGATAGTGATGTGGAAAATTGAGCCGCGAGCCAGGAAATTGTGGAATTCCCATCGGGGCGAGAATATGCTTCGCATTCTGTAAATCCTCCCCTGCCAGAAGGCCATTTCTCGTTTAGCACTGTTTTTTCCATCTTTTTTTTCTTCCTTCTTCGATCGATGCGATTGATCGATACTCAAGAAAAAGAAAGAAAAGAAAGAAAAATATATCCCTACCCACTTGACTTGACCTGCGTATCTACTTCAATCATCATCCAAAGCACGCCAGCATGGACAGCCACGCAAGTTCCTGCAAGCGACCACATAATCAGAAGAGGCTTATGTTCCTGCGTCGTCGCCTTTCTCTGATGTATGCAGGGACTGAACGACTTAGCGTTTCCAAGGATTTTTTGCTTGACCAATTGGAGAGCGGGTGTTTGTCTTGCGTTGCGACGCTCTGTTTCGGGTAGGTGTGGGGGCAATCGGGACCGCAGTAAGTGTATACGTCGCTGGGTGTCGTATGTAACTACGGAGACAGTCGCGAATATGGGTTTGGAGTTATTGTAGTTGGTGAGACTGTGGTGATACAGCCTGGTAGAGCTACGCGGAAGAAAACTAACGCGGTTTCGGGTTTCGTGGTCTTCATCATTGAAACTACAAATCTTTGATTCGTCAAGAGAAAATTTCCAATGCGCCTCTCTTCAACCTCAGCGATGCCAAATGCTTCGACCGGTTCTTCAAAATGGCAAAAGTACCATCCCCACCACCTTACTGTGTGACCTGGAGGAAACTTGTGCCCCATGTAAGGTCATTTCATGCCTTCAATTTCAACCTCTCGACCGGCTGCCCAAAAAAACTGAAGTACCGAACGCCTTGCTGAAACGCACTATACAGGTACGAAGTCCACAGGCCCGTTTGTGCATCCTGCTACTGCTCGTATCTGGCCTTGGGTAGGAAGTAATCGATCCGGGAGATTTACTGTATCGGAAGTCCACGCCTAGCCGCTGGGTCGCATGAATTGAAGCGAACCACAATACGAGGTGTAGGACTTCTGCTGGTTCCTCGTCTATCCAGACTTGGGGAAATGATGATATCGAGAGAGCTGCTTCCGCCGTCACGCCGGACCAGAAAACATTCTAGCTTCCAAGTCCAGAGACGGCCGAGCACTCACAGGTCGTCGCAATTTTGTCATATCAGTCATGGAATTGCTTTGACTGTTGCGACCTAATCGTGCAAAGCCAGCCGCCATTGGAGCGTAGCCTCCGAGGTTTGGTGATCTCATCTCGGGTGTAGCAGCTCGCGGAGATTTGGAAATCGCCATGATTGCTGGCGGTGACGTTGGCGAAATAGGCTGGAGTGATCGTCCTCCGTCCGATGTCGTGCGTGTTTGATCCGGTAGTCGATACGTTGTTGAAGGAAACATGCTGGGCAGATTATCCTCGTAAGACATTGCGTTCGTCAAAGGCTCACTCGCAAGAAATGGTCGTGAGAGGCTCGTATGCGTAATGGGGGTGTTGTTCGCCTTCATGCCCCCAGGCGAAGTTGGAGTGCTCGGTGGAGGAGCGAGAAAGTACTGTTTTCTCGTCATATCGATCGGACTGGACTTTGGGTGTGATCTTCGGCTAGTAGCCACACATTCGGGGCACCAGTCCTCGGCCTCGAAGCGTTGGTTGCCGCAGAGACATAGCGTACGTTGATAAGTCTTAGTTACCGACATAGTGACTCTGGTAAAGTTCTGATCAGAGATGGTGGTAGAGGTTGCAATTCTAGCGTCGACTGGGCAGTCGACGTCTCGTTCCCCAAGCTGTAGCTGAGACAAGTGTTTCGATTAAATGTTGTGAGCTCGCTGTCAAGAATAGGCCTCGTTGTCGCAGGTTCTGCAGGTTCTAGGAATGAATGTTATGTCCAGGATATGGTGTCAGTCAGGAAAGTGAGACGCTTTGAAGGATGTGAGTTCTGCCGCGGCAGGTGTCACGCACGCACCTACATACTATATTCCATCTGGCCCAGAACAAGTTTAGCGAGCTGGATGCGTGTTTGCGGCCTACTTATTCAGGCACAAGCAGCTGGTCAGCAGAACTTACCATGAGACTTCACCATTCATGGCTGAAATACAGCACTGCAATTGGCTTCACCACCGCTTGCACAAGAAAGTCAAACAGGTATTTTCTGAAATTTCATCTCCAAGCAATGGGCTTGCAGCGGCAGTGACGCCTGTGGACGCAAAGACCACGTTGCTGGTGCAGTAGCGCAACGCCTCCTCGCATCCTGTGGAGGGGCCTAGGCATGCCGAAAGTGCACATCGATCGAAAATTGGCAGACCTTTCATTGCCAAGCGCCTGAGCACATGCGCTGTTGACGGATCCAAGATGCCTATTGCCGGTGAGTGGTGGTCACTGGTCAGAGACGCGTAACGGAGATATAATGGAATTTGAGTATTTGTTACATCACACATGAAAATTCCCGCGCCGACCTGCTTCTTCTCTATCTCATCCTCCCGCCAGAACCTGTAGAACGCGAAGACAGAACAAGCAGCCAAGGACCGAGTTCAGCTTACTTCTGCTCCTTGGCAGCCTCTTCGTACGCTGGAGCTTCTTCATACACAGGAAGTGGATCCACTTCCGGGGCATCTTCAATGACGATGACCTTCTCATTCTCTGCTTCAATACGGGTATCATCGTCCTCAAGACGGACACTCTGGTACCCGCGACGACCACCGCGATAGAACTTAATCCACAGGAATCCGATCAAGCGGCCAATGACCAGGCCTACAAGACTGACGGTCATGCCAACAGCAATGCCGGCCATTGTGGGAATCAGAACAGCGGCGAGTCCGCGGCTAAAGGAGTGCATGAAATGACCATGACGGTGATGGTGGCCGTGATGACCATGTGGTCTCATATGGTGAGGACGCCCGTGATGACGAACGCCGTCTCCCTCTACATGGGCGTCATGGTGGTGAAATCCTGGTCGCAGGAAATGAGGCTTGATATGGCCAGGTAGCTTTCCACCTGGCGGTCCGCGATGTTTGCGTCCGCGACATCCACCCTTCCTCATACCGTGCCTCATACCTTGTCTCATACCCATGATTTTGTCCTCGAGCATGTTCCTGAGCTTGCATAGAGACTCTGGGAGCATCTTACACTCCTTCATAGCGCCATGTGGAGGTCCAGGTCGGCCCCCATGAGAGCCGAGATGTGGGAACAGGAAATCTTCGGGCATCTCCTCTGGAGGTGGTCCAAAGAAGTCATCAGGGCGAGACTCCACTCGTTCCTCTGTCTCGACGTCGGCAATGAAAAGCTCACCAGCGCTGGTCTTCAGTAGTTTGATCGAAATGGAGTCGAGTGACACCGGCTGTGTCTCAAGTTCAAAGATATTGTGCTTGATGGGGATTAGCACATGGCCTTCCGGAGACACGATCTCTTCTTCCATAACAGAAACTCCAGATCCGGTGACTTCGAGTGGGGTCGTCCTGGCTTTGCCCGCTGCGATATCTTCCAGAGGGGTGTTCGCAGGCACCTGATTGACATAGATACGCTGAGCCATTAGATTCTCGGCCGACCAGCCCAATGGGTATATAGTCTCTCCGTTGATCTGAAGCCTTCCGCCGTCCTCGGAAATGGTCAAATTCACCACCACGTTGTTTGCCCCTCCTTGCATCCAAAACATTGGCTCTTCATCCTCCTCCACATCATCGCCTGTCGCATCTTGGCCTGTAGCAAACGCGCATTCTGAGCATGGCAACTGTAAGGCGAAACATTTCGCGTTCAAACCCCCTGGGTTGCTAAGGGCGCCAGCCTTATCGTCGAGGCCGGGTGGAATAAGGAAGGCACTGGCGCGCAGCGCGCAGGCTGTGAGGGTGAAGGCGCCGACTTTGCGGCCAGACATGTTGCTTGTAGTCAATCCGAAGTTTATCAGAGGTGTTTCGAGTTGGGAGTGGATGTGGTGTAGACAGCAGAAGCGTGTACGACGACTGCGGTGGTATGATAGCTGACGTGGCCAAGCCGACGAGCCGGGCTTTGTTCTGGAACCTTGACCCCGATGATGCTATTCTTGGCAGGGTTACTGCGACCGATCTTCACATGCATCGGTGAAGCGAGGATTATCCCCAATAATTGGTACACTGCATTATTGGACGGCATGCGCTAGGATGCCGTGAAATAGCAATGACAGGTGGACAATGCGAAGGAAACAGGCACTGAATTCCAAACACGAAAATTGGAGATGTTGTACAGCCTTTGGCCTGGTTACGTGGAATTTGCGGCAATTAAAGAAGAGGCTATACAGTACCTCATAGAACTCTACGAAGAGCTTAAGTAAGGAGCAAAGTGCGCGCTCTGCGCTCGATGCTCGAGATCAGACTAGTGTTTGTGATCCACGGACCTGCGCTCGTGCTATATAGCGGAGTTGTTAATAGCGAAGACTTCCCCGAATGCTGGCCAAACAATTGAATTGTACGTCCAAGCGACTTTATCCCTGTCATGACCGGCAGAATACTACCATCATCAATGCCACAAACGTGCTGCCTACGAAGCAATCCAGGCATTAAAATCTCTTAAGGGTTCTCTGCATTCAAGACGGGTTTAGTGCACTGAAAGTCAGAAAGGCTAGGTTCTGGCGGAAGTTCCTAGACAGTACAGATCGAGGCGAGCGTGCAAGAGAGCGACATTCCTCACTTTCGTCGCGGTGGATGAAGTATGCAGCGAAATCGCTCATAATATTCGGCCAAGAAGCAGAGACGGTCGCATGGAGAATAGCCATGGAGAAGAGTGGCTTCCTAGTCCTTCTCCTGCTGCCATATTCGAAGTAGAAAGGATCTGACTATGCCTTGCTCTTTGCCAGATGCATTTCGAGCTCGCGGGAATCCTCCAAGTGCCGCTTTCTTACATTCATCGAATCAGGACCTTGAAGAAGCTCCTGACGGAGATCTTCCGCGAGAGATGTGGTATCCTAAAAGCCTTCGCTCCTCAAGCATTCTGCCTTCTCTTTGCATGATTGCAAGGTTCGCTTTCCAGCACCTGCGCATGCACGTAGTTCGTGTCGAGCTTTTCCGCATGCCTCGATGGTGAGATGGTGGAAGGATGGTAAACATTTGACGATGAACGAGCGTACGAGCAACGCTTGCAAGCGTCAAAAGACCGGGACGTTTCTGATAGCACAAGTCTTCCGACACAGGCGCATCATCGTAGCCTTTGTGCAAGTGTAGCAGCGTCGCTCAGGTACCTTCTGGAAAGGTCGGTAGGCTCTCGACTCATAGCGCAATGACCGGGATCCACCGTGACGCGTGGCTAGGGAGACGTTCCTGGCGATCCCGGAGCCTCATCATTGCTTGTGAAACTCTTGGCCTCACTTGTTGGCTTTGTCTTCACCAGGACCAAGAGCAGCACAAGTTGCCGCCGGGCGTGCAAAGTACTCACAAGTCTCGCGCTTCCCTTTCGTCCACACGCTTGTCACGGCTCAAGATGCAGATTGGCAGAAAGAGAGCGCAGGCTTCCCTGATCTGCACACGACTAAGGAATGCACGCGGCCCCATACGCCGTCTAGCGAATGGAACCTGACAAGCCTCGACAAGATGCATTACTACTACTACTACTGACCCACAGCTACTCTACCGAAAATCCCGACCTTTTCTCCGTCGTCCTTGCAATCCCTCCGCAGTCGTCTTGCCGACATATTCTTCTCGTCACTCTCTGCCATCTCACAGGCTTTCAGTGCGATTTCCTTGTCAAGTTTCTTTGGAGTTCCACCACAACAATCGCTTCTTGGATTACGTCTTTTTCTTCTATTATGCTTTTCTCTCCAGCACTTGCTGCCCTTGCAGCGGTCCCTTTTGCGAGTGCGTACTATAAGGGCTTTAATGTTGGAGCGAACAATCCGGATGGATCTTGCAAGACTACAGCGCAATGGGAGGAGGCGTTCAACAAGTTGAAGGGCCTGCCTCAAGACATCACAGCCGTTCGCCTTTACGCCTCCAGCGATTGCAACACGCTTGCCAATGCTGTGCCTGCTGCCCTGGACACTGGAACTCAGATTCTTGTTGGTGTCTGGACCGAGGATTCTGCTCATTACACAGCCGAGAAGAACGCTCTGGAGTCTGCGATCAACAAGCACGGAAAGGACTGGATTCTCGCTATCTCGGTCGGATCAGAAGATCTCTACCGCGGAGATACCACGGCAAGCACCCTCGCTCAACAAATCTATGACGTTCGTGGAATGGTCCGCGCCATGGGAGTCGACGCAGAGGTTGGCCATGTCGACACCTGGACCGCGTGGGTTGATGGTGCCAACGACGAGGTGACCAAGGCTTGCGATTTTGTGGGCATGGACGGCTACCCCTACTGGCAAGGCTCTTCCATCGACGACGCCTACAATGTCTTCTTTCAATCCTACACCGATGTCAAGAATCACGTCCAATCTATCGGATCCGGCGCATGGGTCTGGGTCACCGAAACCTCATGGCCAGTCAGTGGCGATAAACACGGCAGTGCTGTTCCGTCAGTCGCGAATGCTCAAAAGTACTGGCGCTCCGTCGCCTGCCAGATGTTCAAAGAGGGTCATGTAAGCAGATTTCCATCAAAACCTTGGGTTATCATACCTGTACTAACAGTCTTCAGGTCTTCTGGTATGCCTACCAAGATTACAACGACTCTCCGTCCTTCGGCATCTTCAACTCGAATGGAAAAGCTATTTATGACCTCTATGCTTGCTAAAGAGTTTGGCAAGAAGACACAATCCGACAGTGAACATTCAGAATAGTTACAAGCAAACAAGTGTAAATTCGTGACAGGGCTAAATAATGTAAAGAATAAGGTAGAGTAATGCTGTGCATTCATTCCCACCCCATTGACTCATCGCCTTCCTACTCCTCAAGCCTTGCAATGAGATTACCTCGTACTCAGGATCGCTCATGCACGACTTGACGTACTCAAACATCTCGATTGAAACGTACTTTGGCTCTCAAAGGTTTCCATCCAGATCCTCGCTTCTAGATTTGCTACAAGGATCAAGGTACGGCTCCTCTCCGATGCCAACAGCACGGTGACCATATCGCTCACCTAGGCCATCGTAATCGAAAGTCGGTGTATGAAATACTAGTAGCAAGATAACATAATCAGCAAGCTTTCAAAACAGAAAAAGAAGTTTTCTTGATCGACTCTCCATACCTGATCTATTATCCCATATAGCAAAGTCGTTAGGATTTCTCCATTTATATCTCACAGTCAAATCATGGTTCTTGACAATCATATCCATGAACTTGGCCAAAAGCTCCTTGGACTCATCAGGCGTGAGCTCATTGATGCGGTTCGGGAATGGGCCAATGGCGAAAATGCTTTTCCAGCCTGTGACAGGATTGGTCCTCACGACGGGATGAACGGATTTCAAGCCGACATTCAAAGGATTGCCTCGGGGTTCTTGGAAAAGTTTGACGTTGTCTGGGTCGCGGGCAGCCATTTGCGCGTAACCCTCGCCGCTGAATGTCGCGGTCAGAGTCTCGAAAAACTTCTGGTATGCCGGAGAAAAGCGGTCGTAGATCTCGTATCTGGGGGGAAAGGGTCAATGGAAGCTTCTTTTGTGATTCACCGCTGGAATGTGTTGGCTCACCCTGACGCCCAGAGTGTATCTCCGCCATTCTCAGGAAGTTTGGTCAGTCGCAAACACGTATATTCCGGCGGGCAGCGCTCAAATTGGACATCGGAATGCCACTCAGCAGCGCGATATTGATTTCTATTAATCTTGTAGTCTTCGATATGCTTGAGGTATTCTTCTCGCTGGACCGAGTCGATGTGAGAGATTTCCATATCACCAGTGTTATTCATCACCGGGTGGATATGAAGCGAAGATTCTTTGGGTTTGCCAGAGACTTCACCCAGCCGTTGGACCAACGTTTTCTGGAGGTCGTTGGTGAGATTGTCTTGTTTGCGGAAAAAGACTACGCCCCTCGACGAAACTGCCACCAAGGCGTTATCATATATGTTGATGTCGGATGGGACCAATTCACCCACTGATATATGCTAGATCCCGAAGACGCTTCTCAGCATCTGGAGCATTGAGAATATCGTTGACGATATTGACATCGGTGTACTCTCGGCCAATTACAGGTGTGGTATCGTCGTACAGGAACGAGTCCAGGGATCCAGATGGTCTTACTGGCTCGCGCACAGGTACTCCATTAGTTGTGCTTTTGATGGTCATCATGAAGCGTTTGTCGTGATTGTGATTGGGTCCCAAACTTTGACTGGAAAAGCTGTTGCTGTCGGAGGCTCTCTGTCTAATGTATATCCGATGAAGTTCAGGTCCTCGAAAATCTCGTACTCATGACCGACCTTTCTCGGTCGTGGGGAGTATCAGATGCGATCAACTGCCGGTGTGCTGATTATCCTCGTGTTGACTAGTCCGGAGATTCGCCGACTATGCAGAAGAATCCCAGAGCTCACCACCGAGCAAGGGAGCTCGGGCTACCTAGTAGCATTCTACATGGGGTTTCTTATCAAGAGATACGGCTCATTCAAAGAAAGTTGTTACAACCATGAGTCGCATGAGTAGGGGGGCCTGGAGCGAATGGTCTCATCGGGCAGATTGTGCCAGACATATAGTAGCAAAATGTCGGTGGAGCTGGTCCAACAAGACATTCTCATCGTAAGTAATCCAATACCCTTTCTGCGACTGCCATTCCCTCCGATTTTCCGTTCTCGCGTGAGTGTCGCGGCCTTTCTGGTTCTCGATATTCCTCATGATGGGGTCTGCGAAATTCTGCACTTCGCGGTCGGCCGAGATTCACTTGACGTCTGGGCTGCTTCTGTCGATCCCATTCGCCACCATGCTTCTCATACCAGTAAACGTCTCTCCCAAGATCCCTATGGTGGACCCTCACCTCCCAATCCGCTGGCCATCTCAATCTCGCTAGTTCCTCAGCAAAAGCGACCGATCGATGATGTCCCGCCACGCAAAAAGAACTCAACCTCAAGATGCGATACGATGCAAGTCCGGTCTTGGGATCGTAATCCATAGGACTATTTTCCCTGGTATGTGGAGCGGAACGTACCTCATGACTCGGATCTCTGCTGGGCATGGCGCCACCTTCATATACTCTCTCAAATGTCGAGCCTCGTACCACTGTCTCCAGATCTGTGCTCCTACGCTCTCTAGAACGCTGCCTAGATCCCGAATGAGAGTGATGATGTGGCGAAGATGCGGTCCGATGACGTTTTTCATCGACAGCTTGTCTTATCGCACGTTCAGCAGAGGATAGGAGATTCACGAATGCAGGCTCTTCCATCAACCATTTCCGCATTCGTTTGTGTCGTCCATCATGGCTATATCTCAGGTATCCAGGCGGATTTGGTACTGTAGATACGTCAAAAGCTATGTCGGCTGGTGGGTCCAAAGGCGGCAACTTGCTGCCGTGAGAATAGATGTGTAAAATTTGTCGAGGTCCGTGGTGTCTAGACATCTTCTACTGCTGCGCGAGACAGAACATACAGCTCCACACGTCGCGAGAGGGACATTCACCGGTCTTTATCAGCTGCCTCTTGGAAGAGTTTGGACCGTGCCAAGTCAGATTGAGAGGCTGAGAGATGTAGGGCCTTGGCGGCAGAAGGAACACCTCCTCCTGATGCGCTACTTTGACTCATGACTCCTGACGCAATATCTCGCATTCTCATGAGCGATCCGGAGAGCTGGAGAGGCACTGGTTGTCAAGACACTCAGTGTCACTCACTCCGTACTATCCCCTGATCGAAAGGGAAACTTTATTGATTTGTGCTCAAACCTAGTTGCACCTGAATCTGCACGGGTCTGCAACACGGATCGTACCCCGCAGCATGGCAATGATGGTCGTGAACCAAGGAGCAGTCGTGCCGTATCCGTGTGAAGCACGATGTTGTCGCAGCATATAGGTATGAGCATCTAGTATTCCGGAGGCAGTAAGCGCGTCGCACTGTCAATGTTTTCGGAGGAATTCATTAGTGATCGAGAATAATAATGCCAGTCGCTGCATATGCTATATATAGTGTGAGCTGTCTGTGATATCTACGAAACAAGGTCCGTGGTTCGAGGACTCGAGGAGTAAGACCACAACATGGCTGGATCTTCTCCTTTGGGTTAGCGGCATCTAAGCGAGACCGGACAATCATCGACGTCACAGCCGGTACAGGCATGCAACTCCGGTCGCGTTTCCACGAACAACTTTCACGAAACTCCTCCTCAACAAAGTCGCTGTCCGCTCTAAGGCATGATTGTGCGATCATGCGTTTCGCGGCGGACAGCAACACCATGTCCCACCTTCATTCGGCATTTCCACGCATCAGCCGGCCTGAACGCTGAACTATCGAACCACTATGAGACCCTTGAAGTCCCCACGAATGCCACGCCAGCAGAGATCAAGAAGTCGGCCTTGTGCATCATCTTGTTGTATAAAGCACCTGACTAACCGATCACCCACAGATCCTTCTACAAACTCTCCAAAGCCAACCATCCCGACCTCCACCCCAACGACCAAGCAAAATCACAACGCTTCGTAAAAGTCAGCCAAGCATACGCAACCCTTGGATCCGCAGAAAAGAAACAACGTTATGATCGCGCCTTCTTTCGTCAACCGGCTCCAACATCAGGTGGAAGAGGAGGCGGATATAGCACACCTCAAGGCTCACATTCTTCCTCCCAAAGTGGCCCCGGCGGTCGCCCCGCCTCAGGTCTAAGCCGTCGAAGAACACAATTCAGAGGTCCACCACCCTCGTTTTACAGAAGTGGAGGCTGGGGCGAACAGAGCGAAAAGAGGCGCGAGAACGCTGAGAAGGCGTCACATACTTTCGAAGCTAGAGGGGAGTCGGCGTCTGGGCCTGGAATGGGACCCGGAGGTTTTGCGACGGGCTTCGATCATGATGTGCCGCATTTCGATCGCGCTGGACATTCTCGTACGCATGAGAATTTGGGGAATTTGAGTGAACGGCGACAGGCGAAGAGGAGTAGGAAACAAGGGGCGAGTTTTCGGGAAAGAGAAGGTGCTGAGGGTGGGAGTACGTTGTTGAGTTTTTTTGTCGTGGGTGGGACGTTGCTTGGTGTAGTTGGAATTACGGGCATGGTGGTTGGAGGACCGACGAGAGGGAAAGGGGATGTTTCCCCTGCTAAAGCTGCGCAAAATGACGGCTAGGTTTCGACGAGATATGGATGATACGGGAAGATTTGGACCTTGATTGATCTATACGACACGACAATCTAGCTGATGTCACGCTGTCGCATCGGCGACTCCATCACTCTATATTTCTGGTCGGAATGCCGGACATGACCACTTTAAAACACATTGAAAGAGAGGATCATTCATATCTTGGAGCGAAGGCCGCAGAGGACAGCCTGAAAAATAGAATTTAGACAGCACTGGACCAGTCGGGTGCTGATACTTTCGCGTCTAACGTCCAACTTACTCTCGCTCAACGACAACGACATATTTCACATCGACCTGGGTCCTGAATCCACAGACAGCGTTTGCTCTCAATCCTGACCGAAGTTGTCCGCGCAGAGCGATTCCAATGAAGACCACCACACGCATGCAGACGAGGAAAAGGGCCGACTGACTGACAGAATCTTGACATGAGAAGTTCTTCTTAATCCTTCAAGATATACTCGTCTCGTCTCGAAAATGCACATACAAGAATAATACCTACTTCTTTCTATAAAATCCCTCCCCTCCCTCTCTCCCTCCTGCTTCTCTTCTCCCCATTATCCTAAACTTCATCTCTCCACACAAGTCTGTGCAGCTCGGGGTCCTGTATTCCTGGCGAGCGCGCTGCTAGTTTCATTCCTCGTCCGATCAAGGCGTACTCCTCACCGTAGTAGGAGAGCTCTTCGGCACATCTTTCCTACTAACGCACCTAGCCCTCGAAGCCACAGTACTCGAGGCCAAAGTACTCCTCGGCTTCTCATTGCCCACTTCTCGAAAAGGATCGTAACCAGAATCGTGACGGTCGGGAGTTGTCGTTACTACGTCTTCTGCTTGCCGCCCATTCTACGGCGCGGCTTCAGTTGGCGGAACTTCTTCCTTCGCGTCGACGAAGCCTTCGTTCTCGGGTGAGCCCTCTTGTGGTGTCGCGCCGTCGTCGGTCTCGGGGGCTGCTTCAGAGGCCTCGCCTTGTGCAGCGGCAGCGGCAGCTTCTTTCTCGGCCATTTGCCTAGCTCTTTGCTGTTGCCAGAGAAGGACTTCTTTTCTGGTCTGCTCTTCGCGCTGTTGCCGGACTCTCTCGACTTCTTCGACGCCGCCGGACTTCTTCAGCTTGCCTTCGTCAACGAATTTGCCAAGTTCACGTTGGAATTCTCCGCCTTTGCGATTCTCTAGCTCCTTCTGTCGATTCCTCTCGGCGCGCTCTATGGCTTCCAGTCGCGATTCGTGGTTCGGCTGTAGAGCTCTGACTTCACCGAGGACACCATCCTTGGCTTTGTGAGGATCAGCACCCTGATCTAGAGCCAGAGTACGAGATGTGGAGCGGACTCCTGGAGTGGGAGCACCGTTCGGGTTTTGCAGATTTTGTTGCCTGGTCGCCTCTTCAACAAGCGCGAAAGTCTGGCTAGCCTTCTCAAGATCGTCTTCAAGATCAGCGGCAAGCTCTTCTTGCATTGTAAGCAGGTCACGGTCATCGCAAACCACTTGCAATTCTTTCTCCCAGATTTTCGTCCACACTGGCTTCTCACGTTTGAGGAATTCCTGCAGCTTCTTGAGATCTGCAGTCGCGGTGCTAATGTCTTTGCTGACACTCTCAAGCTGTCTAGGTAGAGGTCGCACGCCACGGGTAACGACATCCTTTCGAAGATCCTCGACGAGATCTTGCAGGTCATCGACCTTATTGACGATCCGCTCGCTGTCGTCAGAGAGAGTCTTCTTGCCGTTGTTGACATAGGCGCGGCCAGTATTCTCGTCCATGTCAGGGATCGTGGTATCTGCAGCAGCCTTCTTGACAGTTGCGGCCTTGGATCGGATCGTGCTCATCGAAGCTTGCATGTCCGAGACGAAGGATTTGTAAGTCTGTCTGACAACAGCGAGGTCGCGGCGCAGTCCTTGCACTTCCTTCAATTGGCCGGCCAGGTCTTTATTACCAGTACCACTATTAGCTCTTGTTGGCGAGACGACAGCAGGAGGAGGCGCTGCAGCGATACTGGCCAATTCTTTAGCGGTATCCTGCTGGCGATCCGAGACACGTTGCAAAGCAGTCCGCTGATCGTCCACGCCGGACTTGATATCCTCCACGATTCGGCGCAAGCCACCAATGCCATCATCAATGTGCCGCTTCACTTCGTCGAGAGCCTCAATGTTCAATACCAAAACCGACCTTTCCTTGACATCGTTGAGATCTTCAAGCTCATGCCTGACACCGGACACTGGATCCTGGATGTATATCTCTGGCAAGTCGACACCATGGTTGTGAGTATTCCAGGCGAACTTTTCGATAAAGGCCAGCTGAAGCCGCGCAAGAGTCAGATCACCACCATCAGGAAGTACGAACTTCTTGATTTTGCTCTTGTACTGTAAGAATAGAGTCAATTCTTTGCCGAGCTGCGGCGATCCCTCGGGAACATATTGAGACACTGGCGGTGTGTAGTCACGACCTTGTCGTCCCGAATCTCGATTGTACCGCTTCAGCGACGTGCTGGTAGTTGTAGCTCCGGGTGCGGCAAAAGAGCCTGCCGGGGCGAAAGGTTCGCCAATGGGGCCGTTCAACGTTGCACTCGGAGCTTCTTCACCTAAAGGCGCAAAGGGCGTACCCAATTTGTCCTCGGGCGTCTTCACGATTTCACCATCCAGATCCTCCCTCGCAGTAGGCTTGCCTTGTGCTGCTGGGTCGTCCAGCTGCGAGCTCTCCTCAGATATCCGCCTTACCTCGTTTTCTCGTGCCGGAGAAGAGTCAAAGCCGGTTCTCTGGTTCCGTGATCGTGTCCGGCTGTGCAAGACACTACCTCGCGAGCGGACGGCATTCAAAGACTCACGCACATCCCGACCTCTATTCGGTATGGGTGAGTTCTGAGCGGGAGGTATAGCGGGAATGCCATTCATCATGCCTCCCAAATGCTTCGATATCTGGTACGCTGAAAATCGTCTTGACGCTCTCCTCTCCAAGTCTCCCCCACGTTGGAGCGCCGACAAGGCATCGTTCTGCTTCGGTGGTGGCTTCGGCGGTTCTGGCGAAGACTGGTCTCTTTCCACATTATGGTTCGTAGGCATCGTATCGCTTTCCGGGTAGGGCGCTATCACTGGTATATTCTGGAGAGTATCGCTGGATACTGACGATCCCGAAGCTGTAGACATGGTGTCCGGTCTGCCTGAAGGGTGGCTGACGCTGTTCTGTGGGCTCAGAGCGTGTCTTTGAGGTGACGAAGTCCCGCTAGCAGCGCTCGTTGTCCGTGGAGGCAAATCTGGTCCTCCGAGATCCCCACTTCCTTGCCTTTGCGCAAACGATCTGCTGCTCGAGTGTCGTGTCGGTAGATGGTCCAGCTGTTCCGTCAAGTTTGTCTGCACGCTCATAGTGCTCGCTGTCGATGCTTGCCTCGGTGGTCTGCTGCTGCTGCTGCTCGATTCTCCTCCGTCTCTATTGCTTCGCTGCCTCAACCTCTGCTGTTTCTTCTTCAAGCCATGCAGCAAGTTTATTATTATATCTCTTATGCGTGGCAGATACTTTTCCAAACTCTGCTGACTTGCATCCTGACTCAAGGTATCCTCCAATATAGATCGTAAGAGATCTGGGACAGGACCAAGGTCGGCGGTGTCGACACCAATGGCGTTGAATGCCCTGCAAGCGATGTTGAACTCATAGCCCAAGCGCACGTATACGTCCGACACTTGGCCCTCGGTGGCGCGTCCAGTCGACCACATGGTTAGCGTTTCGAGAAGCTGCTTGGTGGCGACAAGCAGATGCGTTACCGACTTCTCGATGGTGGACAGTTGCTGTTGCGGCTGCGGTGCAATTTGTCAGCGCCGTGTCCTGCACAACAATAGTATGGTATATTCTCACATTTGGTCTGCTCCTGCTGCCCGACGAGCGGGTTGAGCCTCCACTACCTCTTGAAGCGCTGGGAGCATCTTCAGGGCCTGCAGGCATAGGCACAGGCATGGCTGCGGTCGCTGTCGCTGTCGCCGGGTTGCCGTTCATCGTTGGTGCTGTGCAGCGGCGACGCGCTCAGCACAAGGGCAAGTCTTCAGCAGGTGTGCGCGTGGCTCGGTGGATGTGTCGGCTGCCGTGGCCGTGGCCGAATGCGCGTGGGCGTGGGCGTGGGCGTGGGCGATGGTCGACTGACTGTGGAGTGGAGGTGACTTGACAGCGAATCCGACGGCGCGGCGATGCTGCCCTCGAAGCTGGCCTGGCCTGGCCTGGCCTGGCAGTAGTTCTATCCTGGGCTTTCGGAGACGCCTGTATCAAGCATTCGACAACACACATACACACACACATACGGAGGACGTCCCAGCGCAACGCAGCGTGCTGCATCGATGCATGCCTCCGCTACGGCAGTCGAGATAGCCTTCTGCTGGCGAAACTCTGCCTCACGTGCACGCACAAATCAACTGCGCTACCTGGCATACGCCTCGTCTACGGAGCTACCTTAAATCGTGCTTAAACTGTCGTCGCTCCATCATCACATGTGCCCAGCAATAATAATCACAGCACTGCCTCGTGCGTCTTCCCTTCTGCACCACCCGTATTCTTGTTTCTATCTTTTGCAGCCAGCCGGCGCCGCTGCCACTCATCAAGCCTTCTGAAAGCGCGCCCGCACCCGGCAAGGATCGCGATCAGCGCCAGCGCCCAATCCGTCCTAGTCGGCCGGGCCCCAGCAGCTCCCAATCCAACTACTGCTCGACCACCACCACCGCACCTGCGCCTTCGCCTTCGCCTTGCTTCCATATACCGCTCCGCCCAGGCGACATCGCTCCCTCCCCTCCCCCTCCCCTTCTTTCTTAGCAAAGGCATTGGGAGCGCGGCGTTATTTTCGTGCTTCAGGCGACGCGGTAGCGAGGCTCTCGCCATCTCCGCTCCCCAGCGAGCGAGAGCCAGCTTGTGCGGCGCAGTCCGACACCCTCCATCCCAGAACACACTCACTCACCACCTCACCTCGACTCTGCACCTCCCACGCCCGCCCGCCGTTCCTCCATCGAGACGCCGCCACCATGGCCGCGACCGTGAACGGCCGAGACCCTGTCAAGCCTGCCGGTAACCCTCCCGCCGCTTCAAAACAGCAATTGAAGGGTACCGCACCCAGTGCTAGAGCTCTCGACGGCGCACGCAAGCAGGCACCCAGCCCTGTCCATGCACAGAACAAGTGAGCTCTCCCAACACAGATTACCACCACACTCACCCTTCACGCGACATCACCGTCGTCGCACGTGCCCTCCCATCCTCTCACCCTCCCGAGTCACCCACATGCGCACATGCCTCAGGCACTTCAACTTTCACGGCAGTGTCACTCTCGAAAAGCAATACCACCACACCAAGCACTACATAATACTGACCTGAGATTGTAACAGAAAGCCACAAAATGCCTGGTCGAAAGGCGCACCTGTCATTGGCAACCGCACCCCTTCCGCCGTAAACGGCGCCCAGAAGCCTCCACCTCCCGCTCCGGCAGTATCGCACGCGAAGAGCTCTGTAGATCCACATGCGGACAAGCACGCACATGATCGTGCTTTATTCCTCTTCTCGCAGTTCGTGGTACGTACACAATTGACACCCAAGGCATTGTAGCTTGGAGAAATACTCTCCTTCAATACGCACCGGTGGAAGAGCTTGTTGAGGCATGTTCACTGACACACATCAGGGCAAGGATGTCACGCTCACGCTGAAAAGCGGCGAGCAATTCACTGGCGTGTTCAGTGGTGGGGCATTCGATGGCCCAAAACCCCACTATCTCCTGAAAATGGTGCGACGAACACGCCTACCGAACAGCCAGCAAACGAATGGTGACGTCCAACTTCCACACGACTTTATTGGTGAAGGCGATGACCATGCAATGAGTTTCGATATCGACGCAGAAATCAACGTGAAGGAGGTCGTTATCGCGACCTCTTCGGCTCCACAACAGAACGGTATGAAAATACACATGTCCATGTCGGAAGCACCTCACTGACTTGTCTTCAGGCTCTGCTGGATCGTTCATGACCGATGCGCAGATATCTGCCAAAGCATATCGCGAGCGTGAACTGCAGAAATGGGAGCCAGGTCCAGACACCGATGTAGACCTCTCGCTCGAGGCCAGTGGCTCACGTGGAGATACCGAATGGGATCAATTCGCGGCCAACGAGAGAATGTACGGGGTTTCGTCTTCATACGACGAGGATATCTACACAACATCGATTGATCGAAACAACCCCGAGTACAAACGACAGGTTGCAAAGGCAGAGCGCATAGCTCGTGAGATTGAGAACTCGGCTCCAGCAAACGCACATGTCGCAGAAGAACGACGCCAAGACGCTTATCGTGGTGATGATGCCGGCGACGAGGAAGAGAAGTACTCGGGAGTGGCACGCGACAGCTCGTCCTTGCCCAAAAGGGCCCCTGGTGCATACGTGCCGCCATCGCAGCGTCCGATCACTGGTGCTCCATCGGTACCTGGCGCACCTTTTGATCCAGCCATCATTTCCAGCCAGATCAAGGCCGCGGCCGCGCCCGCACCCGCACCTGTAGCAGCGCCTGCTAAGCCAGGACCAGAACAGCCGAAGCCTGCTGAAAAGGCTGCTCCGGCTACGACAGAGACCTCCAAGGCAACATCCGCAGCAGTAGCCACTTCGTCCGAGCCTCCAAAGAAGAAAGAGAGCACCACAGAAGACCGCGTTCGAGACACAGCCGATGCCTTCAAGCAATTCGCCAACAACGAGAAATTACGACTTCGTGCTGCTCAGGAACAAAAACGGGTCAACCAGCGCCAGGAGAAGAATGTCAAGCTGAACGATCTCAAGAAGTTTGCTGAGAATTTCAAGCTGAAAAGTCGTGTGCCGGATGACCTGGTACCTATCCTTGCCAAAGACCGGGAGAAGCAGCTTGAGATCCAAAAGAAGGCAGACCAAGCTGCGAAAGAAGAGGAGATCAGAGCGAAGGACAAAGATTCCGAGAAAGCTAACAGTGTCACGGCATCTCCAGCTCCATCTAGCAGCGTTTCGCAGGCGGCACCGACACCATCGACCGATTCAAGAGCACCATTCAATCAGCAGAATCGGACTCGCGTGGGCCAGCAGGCTCGACAACAAATCCCGCCGGGACAATCTCCAGCAGGCATTCCTCTCAGCCAGCGCCTTCGCAACAATCAAATGCACTTCAATGGCAGAGCTGGTATACAGCCGCTACCCGCAGAGCTGCGCATCCCTTCAGGACCTCCACAACCTACGGGCGCCGACATGCCGATGAGTCCAAACTCTGCTACCAGGCTCAATGTCAATGCCAAATCGTTCGAGTTCCGTCCCGGCGCGTCAGCTTTCACCCCAACGGGCACCTCGCCAAGCCCGCAGAGAAAGGAGACGGAGGAATTGGTGTCATTCTTCAGCAAGGGCAAGAAGAAGGAGCCTAAGTCACCGACTGGATTTGTTGATGCCGTCAAGCGCATGGCAGAAGCTGACTATCCGGAACATCTTAAGGTGGCTATTAACAAGAACGGTGGCGTTCCACAAGCCTTCAGCACCCAGCCGACGTGGTCGCAACCCAAAGAGAGGGAGAACACATCTCACGAGAGTGCCTATCCAAAGGCGCAAGCACCGAGCTCTGGGCCTTCGCCGATGCATACGCCTAATCCGGGTCAGATGCCTCATGCGCATCAATTGCCAGCTCATATGCAGGGTCCACCAACGATGCCCGGGCCTAACCAGCGGCAGCCATTTTACGGGCAGCCTCAACATGGCCACGGACACGCTCCATCCTTCGATCCACGCTTGCAGCAACAGTTTGGACCTAATGGATCCGTACAAAACTCGCCTCGTGTGCAGCAGGTGCCGGCTGTGCCTTTCAATGGTCAGATGCCTCCGATGCAGATGCAACAATTTCCTGGCCAGCCTATGCCACAGTACGGCATGTCTCCATCGATGCAGTATCGACAGATGGCTCCTCAAGGCACACCGATGATGATGCCAGGCGGACCACAACCGCAAATGATGCCAATGCGGCCCGGCTTTGGTGGACCACAATTCAATCCACAAATGGGTGGCGGCCACATGATGGTACAGAACCCGTCCCAAGGCTACCAGAATGGGCCTATGCCACAAGGCTACGGCGGATCTCCAATGCCACCTAACGCACAGCCTCATATGCCACACATGCAACCCCACGGCAGCTTCTCCGGCAGTCCAAGACCTCACATGATGTCTCATCAAGGCTCGCACCAAGGTATGCATTAGTATCACCTATGGCTTGAAGACAACGAAACTGACAGATTTCAGGTTTCCAACCGGGCATGCCAATGCAGCCACACTTTGCTCCATCTCCAGGCCAATACCCGCACCACATGCAGCACCGCGCTATGAGCAGTGGATATCCTCAGATGACCCCAAGACAGCAGGCAGCTGTTCCACACCAACCTAGTCCAGGAATGGGCGTTGCGCAAGGCGATGAGGGCAAATGAGCCATGCAAATATTCTTTCAAAAATGATCTGGACATTGGGAACAGCAAATCTTCCGGGCATGATAATACTTTTATTTGATTGAGATGGATGTATATTCCCGCATCTATGGACCATATGGTTGTCGCAGTGCTGCTTGGCGAACGACATGAGCTGCGATCGTGCCAAAGCTCCACACGGACAGCACAGAGCCCGCTGAACCTCGCCATTTTGGGTGAATATGTCAAGGCAGGATCTCGCCGCGTCTGGATCAAAATCGCACAATCTACGCGGAAAGCAGCCGCCTTGGCTACCCGTGCTCTGATCGCATCGCAACGCTCATGTCTTCGGCCCTCTTGGAGCACAACAAAGTCAAGCGGCATTGCTGCCGTGCTACACTAGATCATTCCCTGCTGATGCCACCTGGCCTTTGGGTTGTCCGCAAACAGATAACGTGGACGTGGTTCAAGCCAATGATGTAGTAGGTGTCTGGCAATGGGCCTGTATCCGCTAGTTATCAGGCAGGTGGGCGGAGAGAAAGTGGAAAAAGTCAAAGAACAGATTGGGTCAGCGAGAGAAGTGGCTTCAAAGCTTCACTTGGAGGAGGTGGTGCAAGCGTAGAGGAGTAGACAGGAACTGCCAAAAAGAAAAAAAAAAGTTTGAATAGTAACACGATTCACCGCTATTCCGGCATGCCACAGAGCCAACGTGAAGCTAAGTATCTATCCGACCGTCATGCGTGTGTACATTTATATGCATATCATGTGCAGCAGTACTGCTCATCAAACATTGTTGCTGCAATCCTGACAGCTGAACAGAAGACCTGGACCACAGGCCTCGATCTCCGCTCATGCACTGTCCGCTGCGCCCACTTCCCGAGCGCCTCTCTCCTCTTACGCACATTCTCCCACACCTTCTTTTGTTGTATGTCCACCTCTTCAAGCAGTCCCCGTAAACCTCAAGACAAAATTCACAAGCACAGCCCCCAACAACGCCACCGCCAAAACCGTAGGACCAAACCTATCATCAAACCCTCCCTGACCTCGCATTCGAATGGATTTCGCTCGCCAATGAAATGTCACTAAAGCGTAGAGCATGGCTGCTACGGCTACGAGGGTGAAGAGGATGGCGGAGATTTGACCGACCTGGTGAACGAAGGAAGTGAGTAAAAGTAGGGCGCAGGGACTAAAAGGGTAGGTATGGAGGGAGGATTTTCACGTACTGTATCTCCGAAATTCAAAAGTCCCATTGCTAGACCTCCTAGAATTACGGTGAAGTTTAGCCATGAGAGGAAGGTGCGTTCGTTTGCGAAGAAGACTTTGGGTTCGATGCGGGTGGGGAGGGCGATGCGTTTTCCTGGTGGGAGGGGTTAGTATTGTGGTCTGTGTTTCTGCTTCTGCTTCTGCTTCTGGGGTTGAATGTGAATGTCCGAGGGATTCGGTCGTGGAATATCTGGGGGATGTTGTTGGTGAGTTTGAGGGTTTTGCGAAGGAGAGAATGGGCCAGCCAGCCATGCCATGCCATGCCAGGTTGAGCTGAGTGGGGTTTGGGGTTCGGAGAGGAGTTTGCAGTGAGGAGGAGGGAGGGTTGAAGGGCCAGTGGGAGTGAGAGTGGGAGTGGTGAATGGTGAATGTTCAGGATCGGGTATTGGAGACTTACCGGGAGCAGTCTGGAGGAGTGGTTGAGAAGACATGTTGGCGGTGGTGTTGTTGATGTTCGGGTGTTTGTATTCGATGTTTGTGCAAGAGGCTTTCGCTCGTGGCCAGGAGTTTCTCTCAGATCTCAGTTGTTCGTCGTACGATGGTATGGTGGTGGTGGCCTCTGAGCTCCGCAGCCTTGGCTCGGGGATGTCAATGGCAGTGGAAGAGCTTGTTTTCTGTGCTGCTTCGGAAGTCGTGAAGAAGCTCGTCACAAGATGCACGCTGATCCGTCGCTCACTCTGATTGGACGAAGCTCAGGCCAGCAGTGAAATGCGATTATGCGAGTTTATGCGAAATGCGGGGGGTCTCACATCCCCGTCAGATCTCGCATGCCAAGAGAGACGGCAAGGGAAGGAAGCATCAGGCCGACGCCGACGCCGACGCCGCCGAGCTCAGTGCCAATCTATCGGAATTCCACTATGCACAATCTCGCCTGCCTGTCTCTGCCTCTCTGCCTGCTGCTGCTGCTGAAACTCGACTGATACATCACGCTACAACAATCACAACTACCTCTCGACCATCTCCAAAATCATCCACCACTCACTCCATCACAGGAACACTCTCCAGTAACCCGAAAAGAAGCAATGGCATCCAACTGTGTACGCGACCCGCAAGGCTGCTGCTGCTGCCACCACCACTCCTCCTCCTCCTCCTCCTCCTCCCCATTCTCCACCACCACCAACACGCCTCGCTAACGATATACTTCTCAAACCAGCCAATCCCCGTGCAACGCCTCAAGCAAATCTGCAACGACGCCTGCGACGCCGCCATAAGCTCTGCGTCCGTCTACGAACATTCCCAAACCCAAGCCTGGAACAACGCCATCATCGGCAACATCCTGCAACAACTAATCTCAGAATCCGACAACACGCCCCCAAAACACAAATTCATCGTCAACACCACCATCATCCAACACTTGAGCGATCCACGGCCGTCGGGAGAGAATGCGAGCGAGAAGAAGGTGGGCAGGAGGGGAATGCATTCTGCGAGTGGAGCTTTTTGGAATAATGAGAAGGATGGCATGTGGAGTCATAAGTATGAGGGAGGGGAGGGGAAGGGCATGGATATTGTTGTGTCGGTTATGTGGGTTGCTGTGTGAGTGAGGACAGCAACAGCAATGCCATGTGGACGCGTGATGAGCATGAGTGTGAGCGAGACGATGAAGACATCATTATTCGACAGTGTGCGATTGTGATCCGTGGAGCAAGCAAGGCGTTTGAGAGGATTCGTCTTTAAACCATGTACCTTGGATCTCGCGACCGGCCCTTGTTTGGAAGGGACGCCGGGCGGGTCGAGATTGACGTGTATGTATGTTATACCCTTTGAGTACTACTACAATTGGAAGCTTGTATATTGCTGGTCTTCTCTGGGCACTTCTTATTGCTACGCGTCTTCTCGCCGCTGTTGCCTCTTGTTGCATTTGCATGCTTATCTTGATTGGGTCAAGGATGTTTACGATTACACAAAACGTAATTGCGCGGCCGCGGCCCACATGCCGATCTTTCATATGATGCATACGAGATCACGTGAAAAGGTTGAAAAAGGAACTTGGTTTTTGATCAAAGGTATGTCGTTGAAATGTATGTCGTTGACGAAGGTGCCTGTCATACCGCCGCCCCCTTCATTGTTTGCCCCATCTTTGCGTGGGTCAATTCTTTCCTTCCAACCACGTCACTTATTAATGCTATCCTGCTTGTCCAGCCGGTCAATGCTCGTCCTGTAGAAATATTACTGCTCCCAGCTTGATCATAATCTTGGTGCCGTAACTCCCCGTGGCTTTCATCTCATGCCGTCGTAGTTTGACCTCAATCATCTCTCCTCAAGGCAGTAATTTACTCAACTTGCCTTCCGAAGTCCACAACGCTCTGTACGGCTCAAGCGGGAGTGGAATGCTACCACTATACCCAACATCGCCCTGCGCTTTCTGTAATGTCGCGGCAACTTTGCCCACCATTTTTGCAATCCATCGATCGTTGACCAACCCGCCGACAATCGTCTTCTTCATCCCGTCCTTGGTTGTCTGATGGAGGTCTTTGGCGAATTCTCGGATTTTGGCCTTCGTCGTCCCATCCTGCAGATTTTGACGAATGTTCTTGGCAAAGACTTTGAAGCCTGCTGCCTCTTTGAAGGAAATTTTTTCGGAATCAGGTATGCTGCGCTCTTCGTCCATTGAGGTGACTCGAGAGAGTCCATCGGACGTGGAGTCGGAGAAAGTGGGAGACATCGGCGTATCTGCTCGGTCCGCTGCATCGATCTCTTTTTCCATTTCGATAATTTTTGTGGCTTTGACGAGTGCGGCGACAAAGTTGAGCATGTTCTGATCACAAGAGACTGGTAGCGAGCCGTGGACGCTCAAAAAGATGTTCGTTTCGTCTTTGAGTGCCTGTTCCAGCTTGTGCTCCGCCTGTACTATCTTTGGAGTGCCGTCAGCTTGATCAATCTCCTGCTCGAGTACCTCTTCGTCCTCTCTCGTAGGTTTCGCCGGAATCAGATGCTCATGATGTGGTAGTAAGTACGAAGGTATCGTGAATGTCGCATCCGCTCCGCCCAGCCTGACGACTTGCTTGATGCTGTCGTTCTGCGGCTGGCCATCTACAAGTGCTGTACGATAGGCCATCACATCTGAGAACTTGAGGTAGGTGACGATATCAAATGCAGAGCTGAGCGGCACCTGTCCAAGTCCTTCTATGTCTGCTAGCTGCACGCAGAAATTGGCATCGGCAAGCCATGTAGACACCTTGCGATACAGCCTTCGAAGCTCTGCGCTATTTTCGGCGTATTGCTTGAATACCCGCTCCTGAAGAAGCATCTGTAGCCATTGTCCACTTCCAGCAGCGTTAATGCTTGATATATTGATTGGATGAAAGTAACTCAATGGTGCAAGAAGGAGTCGAAGAAGGAACGGTAGCCGATGCAGAAATCGTCTGACATGAGGAGGCGATAGGTTCTGTAGTGTAGTGACTCTCACCGATCGCTGTAAACATTTAGCATTTCCACCTAGTCTCGCATGTAGCTCATACATACAGTTGGTGGATGAGGGACAGAAGGTAGACTGTGCAGCTCAGCACAGACTGCTGCACGCATGTCTTTTTCATCGTTTAGTCGGCGGCCTTGGCCCTTAGCTCGTTGGCGCACCGCCTGTCGTGATTGATACACAGCGCTCGATGTTCGTATTTCAGTCAATTTCTCGTGATACTGCTTATCGGCAGCTTCATCGTCCGGGTGCAGTGCTGTCACGATATGCAGACCCGCTCTAGCGGAGGAGTCTCGCATATAGCTGACGCCGGTCAGAGTCTCTCTCAATTTGGGCCGATCTGTCAGTCCCTTAGATCCTGCTGTGGCAGCACGGAGTAGTGGTGTATCATCCAAGAAGACGCTGAATTCGCTTGCTACATCATCGTCATCATCCTCCAGGCCACCAAATGTCATCTCAAATTGACCGCCTTTCGCGTTGGCATAGACATCGCCGATTTCGATGCGGCGGAAGAAGCGTACTGTAACCTCATCGACATATATTGCCAATTCAATGTCGTCGGCCAATTTGAGACCTACATCGATGTCAATAGTGAATTACAAGTGAGTCATTCTAATCGAAGAAGTAAGTATTCATTTGACATACCAAGTTCACATCCATGAGCAACCAGGGTGAGCGTCGAGAAGCTGAAAGTGACACCACGAATGACAAAGAGGCCATCGACATCGGTGTCGATTTCCAGGGCCGGCAGATTGAAAAGCGCAAGCTTGTCCCTAATGAAGTGCGGTTGACCACCGAGGAATTTTCGGAGACCTCGCCTTGCAAAGTTGGCGATTCTTGGAAACTGGTTCAAAGAGGTCAGGAATATGGCCGGATAAGTAGCCGCGACGAACAGCCCATGCAGGAGCCATGAAGTGGAGCAGACGGCATAGATCAGGTTGTAGGTCGCCAGCAGTGTGCACAACGGAGCCGCTTCCCGAATTCTATTCTCGTAGGCGTGTCCATAGATGAGAAGCAATGTTTCAATGGCTGCCCCAGAACAGAGCCATCGTCTCGCGCACGAAGTAGCAGCGCACAGGAACACGACCGTCGATGTGGCCAATACTGCAGTGCTGAATCCCTTCGAGACATCTTTCCGTTTCCGATGTGAAGCCTGAGGGACAGGTTTCCGCGGGATCAGAATAGGGTTGGGCGCCATGCTGCCGACACTCAAGATATAATATCGCGTCCGGACGGAGATCAATCACCCACGCATTTTCCTGCCACAGCAGGGTCTTATCCACGCTCTCTTCTCCTCAGCATTCAATGTTGTTGTTGTTGCTGTTGTTGTTGTTTCCCTCCCCAACGGGAAACGGTATAGCAATGACGTTCCTTAGCGTGCCATCAAACGTAGGAGGCGCGTTACCGGTAGAAGCAGTTTCTGCAACTGACGACTGTTCAGGTCCTCACTGCCGCCTCAAGAGCTGATGAGACTCACACTCCATAGAGAGGAGTGAATGGTAGAACTCCCTAGAGAGGAGTGGATGGTAGAACAGATGCTCCATCTTTGTTGACAGCGACGATCTGACAGAGTTGATCCGATCCTTATTGTAAGCGCTGATCATTGAGGAGAGTTCGCCGCCGAGCATAGCATAGCGAATGTGGACTGAACTCCGTCCCCTGCCAGTCCAATCAAACTCTACTGTGAAACACCATCTGACCTTTCGTATTTGGACATCGACGTCGGCAGCACAGCTCCTTCTCAAGGTGCGAACATAGGAACAAAGATTCGCCTCCTAGGCCGACTTGCCCGCTCCAATCCACCCTCGACCTCGACACACCAATGATATGTCCACCCGGATACACGCTTCTTGGTGAAGATCGCTGCCTGCATCAAAGACGTGCTGCGAACTGACGAAGCTCATGGGCGATATAATACCCCCGCACAACTATCGATGGCGCACGCAAGGTGACACTTACCAATGCAGTTCCACTTGCCGTCGTATACCACGCTTGCCCTCGGCTTGCTGGTCATGTTCACCGTCCAGACTGTCATCTCGGCCATTATGAAGTTCAATCAGACTGCGCCAGCTCTGTTCACTGGCTTCGCATCGTTTGCCGGAGTTGGAAACGCCCAAACAAGTAACAGCGACAAGGCGATTCAACCGACGGGCAATGACACTCCGTGCGGCGGAGACATCAACGTTAACTTATCATGGCACCCGCCGTCGAAGTACGAGGTGAATGATCTTGCCGGGGTGATCAATGGCACTGGCGTATACGGCTTCATCTTCAACTCCAGTGTGGGACCTCGGGATACTTACAATTGGTGCAATATGCCTCGTGCCAATCCCGACACTTACCCGAAGGCTGAGGAGGGCTATAAGCTGGAGTATGTCGAGGTCATCCACAGGCATCACAAGCGGACGCCATATGCCGCCAATACGTTTCCACGAGAAAGCTATTCCTGGGAGTGCAGTGATGAGGCACTGTTCTATGGAGGCCAGCCCGTTGGAGTTTATGGCTCCGGTTCTGCCGAGACGTACTGGTCTGTCTATACATCCGCGACGAATCCGCTTGCGCCACTTGGCTTCAATGGGACCTGCCAATTTCCCCAAATCACTCGTGGTGGTTTGATGGACAGCAAGAGACATGGCAAAGATCTGAAGGCCGTCTACAGTGGCTTGCTGAACTTCATTCCAGAGCAGTATGATGGAAACCTGGTCTCCTACAGAGTCACAAATTCCATGACATCGCAAGTGGCAAGCGCGCTCATTCCAGGCATGTATCCTGAACGCGAGAACAAGGATGCGCCACTTCTCATCCAGCCCCACAGTATCGACAGTCTTGAACCGGCTTACAAATGTGCCAGCGCGTCTGCTCTGTTTAGCTCTTACGGTTCTGGAAGCTCCTCGCCAGCTTGGCTTCAACACATTAATGCTTCGTCTAACCTTTTCGCGCGACTCGATGCTTTATCTGGAGTCAGTCCTAATGCCAGCGATTGGCACATGAGCTGGGACCACTACTTCGACAACCTTTCAGCTCGACTGTGCCATCAGAAACCACTTCCTTGCAAGATTGGAGATTCGACCGACTGCGTCAGCCAAAATGAGGCCGAGGAGGTCTTTCGCCTTGGCGAGTACGAATATTCTTTCATCTATCGCGACTCGAAACAAAGCTTGGCGGCAAGCGTAGCAAGTTATGGCATTTGGGTTGCCGAGCTTGCTCAGAATTTCAGACATGCTATGGGTGAAGGTCCTCCAAGCACAGGATCAGCCACCTCTCAGAGCGTCAAGTACAGACACAACGTTGCACATGACGGGTCGGTGTCTCGGCTGCTTTCGATTCTCCAGATTGATCGAATGGTCTGGCCTGGTATGGGCGCTGAGATTGTGTTCGAGCTCTACAGCAAGCAAGGTTGCTACTACCTGAGAGTTCTTTGGGGCGGACAAGTGCTTAAATCAAGCCATCCAGCATTTGCGAGCATGGACATGGTGCCTGTCGGCACATTCCTAGCCTATATCGATGGATTGGTTGGTAAAGGAGCAAGCAAGATTCCCGAAATCTGTGCCACGCCCCTCTAGGAATTTAATGGCGAAGGATGTGGCTAGGGACTAGAAGCAAATGGCTTTTTCCAGCGATCAGATGTCCCATCCGTCCAGAGGCGATGAATGCCGAGATGAATGCGGTCTTCGACAGAAATCGATCGAAACCAGTCAATATCATACCAAGCAGCGAGTTGCCCACTTATCCACCAAGGCATGATAATTTGCAGGGCGCCAGGGCTACCGCAGCTCATTCCGGCCCGTGAAATTTCCTCGGACGACAATACCGTTTCGAGCCTCATCGTGGGAGCAGTCAGCCTGGACGCCTCTCAGCAGCTATTCCGAGAGCCCGAGTTGAATACTCAACTTGACTTACAGACTGTATCGATGTGCAAGCACGGTTGCTGCATCTGAGGTCAGGATAGAATAGGTTAATAGAGAAGAAACCTGGGATCGGGCGAGTGTGAAAAGCTCAAGTGAAAGAAGCATTCTCTGGTCATTGTTGATGAGCTCGTCATGATGTTGCCAACCAAGCCCCCGGGTTTAGCCTGGGCTGGAACAGTGGGGCAGATCTTGCTCGGTCGCTCCCGAGAAACTCTGCTCCTCCGATCTGAGAACTGCTTGCCGATCCACTAAAGCTAGACAGGAATCAATGACGATGCCTGGCGCGGATATGCCTTGTTGTTTGCGCGTAGATTATCCTTATACCGCTCACGGCTTGATTGGCGGCAGGTAGGCGTCTTTCTTTCTTGCTCCCCGACCTTCTCGCCCCTTTGTTCGGAGATGACTGACGGCAGACCACTGCTCGACTCCCACGGATCGCAGACACGATTCAACATGAGCCAGAAAATGGAGGGTGCGAAGAGGAAGAAGGTGCTGGTAGTGGGTGCGGGAGCTGCAGGTGAGGGAATGGAGCCGACAGGACGTAAGACACGCGCTGACAATGCTACAGGAATGTCGTGTGCACATCATCTCTCAGAACATCCAGACAAGTTCGACGTAACGATTGTAGACGCTGTCGACTATTGCGGAGGCCAAGCATACTCGATACCACTGGACAAGCAAAAGACGGGAGCATCATGGCTCAACCAGGGCGTTCAGGGCGGCTCATACATCTTTCACCACACCATGACCATGTTCGCGAGAAATGGCTTCTGGGCAGATCCAGTCAAGCTTCAGGTATCTTTCGGAAAAGGCGAGCAGTTCTGGACAAACGTATACCCCACGAAAATGCTGGAAAAGCATTCGGCAGAAGTCGTTCGCTTCTTCAGAATGCTGAAGATTGTCAGAATGTTTGAGATCTTCTTCGCATTAATGCCGATCAAGATCTTGATCAAGCTCTTCCGCTTTTCAGCCGAGTTCGCCAACGTGGTAGCTCTGCCTATGGTGGCTCTCTTCTTGGGTACTGGAAACTGGACGCCAGAAGTGCCTTCTATGATTCTGGAGAGACTTAGCACGAGTCCGACGTATGGAATGTGGTATCCTCCGGACAAGAATAGCGTGGCGTCCAATCTGCCGCCTATGGTGGTATTCCCGAACCTAAGCGACTTTTACGATACCTGGCGCAAGAATCTCATCAAGCGAGGCGTCAACGTACGACTTTCCACAGAGGTGACTCGTGTCACGAAGCGCGACAAGACAGGTGTCACCGTCAAGATCATTGGCCGGACAAGGGCTCCGGATGGGCACAACCCGAACTCTGCTTGGGTGCCAGACGACGTTGAAGGCTCGAAAGCTGATGCCGATGCTGTCGAGACAACTGAGGAATACGACGAGATTGTCCTTTGTGTTCTTGCCGACACAGCCAAGCGCATTCTTGCTGCAACGGCGACTGGATCTGAGAAGCGTGTTCTTGGAGCTGCCAAGTTCGCCAACGATATCACTGTCACACACCAAGACCACGAATACATGAAACGACATTACGAGAACTTTTATGAACCATCTCTGGCTGTCAATGGCATCAATGGCCAGGACATGCAATCACGGAATGAATGGGCCAAGGATAACTTCAAGGCCATGTACCTGATCCGAATGTACCCTCAGGACCTGACAAAGATCGAAATGTGCTTCGATTGCACAAACTACCAGGCTCAATTCCCACCCGAAGTACCTTTCGAGAACCATGTCTTCCAGACCATCTTCCTTAACAACGAAAGAGACAGTCACTTATGGACGAGAGATGAGATCAAGAAGGACAAGATCATACGAGAAGACTGGTGGCATCAGCTCTGCCACTCCTATGCACATTACATCAAAGTCGTTCCTTGGTTATGGATGCTCCAGGGCAAGCGCTATACTCGCTATGCATCCTCATGGACTCTTGTCAACGCACATGAGGTAGCCTGCATATCTGGTATCTCTGCGGCCGTGGATCTTGGTGCTGACTACCCTGCCGACCTCGAGCGCGATAAGTGGTCATTCCTTGCTTTCAGACTTTATAACCTGCTCATCTACGGCAAGTGGGTCAAGAGAAAGGCGACTGCGAAGTCCAGGGAGGGCGAGGGTGCGGAGTGGGCTACAGGTAATGAGTATGGAAGTATATACAACGGGCCTGGTGTCAATGCGAAGACGGAGAGGCTGATATGGAAGAATGAGGTGGCTGCTGATAGAAGTTTGGAGAACTTCTAACGAAGTGTGATGAAATCCAGAAATCGGCGCATCTCTGAGCAAATGAAATCATTGCGATGGCGGGCTCTCGAATAATCTTTACCACTCAGCCCATCGAACTGAGGGCAGTTCTTTCTACAGCGTCTCAGCAAACTTACAGCACCTCCCTCATAAAGTCATCTACTTTCCTCTCCCAGTTTATCGTCGCAAGCAATTGCAGAATCGGAGACCACAAGCAATGGCGCCGACCACTGGAAACGACTACTTCACGAATGCCATCTATCATTCCGAGAAGCCTCTTCCCACGAATACCATGAGGGACGAGGTCTCGTACAATGATGTTCAGATTAGCAACTGTCATGTTGCTGAGCTCAGGATCGGTAGTCTTCACATTAAAGATTTTGACGCCAGCAACATTAGCATCGGACAGATCGCAATCGACCACATGCAGGTTAACAATGGCGACGGCGACGACGAAGTAGTCCAGGCAGAAGACATCGATGACTCCAACATTCGCAACGACACAGGCCCAGCCGACGAGGATAACGTCAGTGTCACAAGCAAGCATAGCTCCAGAATTGAGATATCTCCGCAGTTCCGCCCAGGTCAGAGCACCCAAATAGCGGCAGCACAGGCTTTGGAGAGTCAATTTAGAGCAGCGAGAGCACTCAAACGTTCGGAGAGGAGTAGAGCAGAACATCAGGCCCAAGACCAAGCCAGCCAATCTGCTCATGCGTTGTTTGATCCTGAGAAGCAAGCCTATCTTGAGTCGGTATCAGATCTGAACACGGCGGCCGCCCAACCAGATCTCGATGCCGTTGAAACTCGATCGATTCCGGCTCTGTCGACAGCAGACTCCAAGAAAAATGATACCGGTGAAGAATTGCATCCAGAGCAGGAAGGTCCAGAACCACACGGCCCTCCATCGAATCGCTCCGAGGCCCCAAAATTTCTCCATACACAGCGTGGCATAGAGCTTCCTCGTCTCCCAACGACCGTGAATCCCGAAGTCACCAAGACCCCGACTTACAGATCACTCAACTACAACAGTCCTGATATCGAAAACGAACACGACTTGATGCGACAGAGCTATGCTGACCCAGAGCCACCACCAAAGTCTCCAACTGTCTTTCCAGCCATTGCCATTCCGCAGGTATTACGGCCACCGGAGTCACCAAACATCTTCCCATCCATCCCCGCCGTACAGCCTCCGGAAATGGTATTACATCCCCAACCAGATCGCCTCAACAATACCGATATCCAATTTCTGAGGCTTACAGAAGCTGACGGTAGCACTTGGAGAAGTCTACCAAATTTCAACAACGCTGGACTTCAGCAAATGGACGCGGGAATGCGGGATATGGATGCCCCGGGGGATTTCGAAATCTCGGGTCGTACTGGCTTCTCGCCGAGAAATAGATTTGGTGATGTCCGTGAGATGTATGGACAGAATCCAGATGATGAGGAGGGAGAGTTGGCGCAGATGGCGAGATTTGAGGATCAGTTTGGTCCGTTTGATGCTGAGGCTGCGAATCGACGTTTGGCGGATTGGCTTGGTCGTGAGGATGAGGGTCCTGGGCGTTAGGGGCGAGGGTTTCTTGGTGTTGGTGTTGGTGTTGTTGGTGTAGCTACATGAGTCGAGAAGATGGAGTGCTAGGATAAGATTATGTCAAACTATACCTTTGTGAAATCGGAATTGGTCTTCGGCCTCATAGACTTTTGCATTATCTAGCGTTCTCGTGAAGTTTTCAACTCGCCTCCAGACAATCGATGTTGCGATGAAGAAGGTGGCTGTATTGTCGTCGAGGGATACTTTTCAGCGGAGATTCTTCGGCGGAACCTCGACCCTGAAAGACGGGCCACTTCTTCATCAGTCCAAACCAGCTCTACCTGCACTTACGAGGCTGGCGGCTTTTGCAGGTCCGCTCGAAGTCACGATATGACTAACAGGTGAAAACAACCTCCGGCGAACGAAGCGCCAGAAAAATGCTTGAAATCCTAGTGGCAACCGCACTCGTCCTGCTCACCACAGCAGTGCTAGCCGCATTTCGATTCAAAGCAGTGATTGACCCAAGCCGACCCAAAGCCCTTCGCCATGGCCGTCAGAACCCGGAAGAGCCGACGCATATTTTGATCGTGCTTGGGAGTGGAGGGCATACGGCAGAGATGCTTGGAATGCTCGAGCGAGCCGTAACAGAGAAGGATTACGACTCGCGGATCGATTGGCGGGACTACACGCACCGAACATGGGTTGTCAGCTCGGGAGATGGGATATCGGCTGAAAGAGCATATGAGTTCGAGGAGAAGCTGGCGGATCTGTCGATGCAAACGACTTTGACGGACGGCAAGGACAACAGAGTCATGGGATTGGCTTCAGGCACATATGAGATTGTGACCGTGCCACGGGCCCGAGAGATCCATCAACCTGCGTATACTGCACCGATATCTTGTCTGAAGTGCTTTTGGACTTGTGTCGGTGTGTTGACTTCGCATACCACAGATGGTCAATTGGACTTTCCCGATTTGATTCTCTGCAATGGTCCCGCCACGGCGACCATCTTGATCTTCACCACGATCTTGCTGAGATTCTTCAACATTCATGGCTGCAATTCTCGGCACAAGATGAGGACACTCTACATCGAATCATGGGCACGTGTGAAGAGACTTTCATTGTCTGGCAGACTACTTCTACCCATCGTGGACAGATTCCTCGTACAGTGGCCTCAACTTGAAAAGATCGCTGGTAGCAGAGCCGAATATCATGGACCATTGGTCTGAGAACCACCCGATTCTACCTCCTCCTCCAAATTCAACGCTTGCTTCACGAAGGTCATCGCTCCCGCATTATTCAAGGCCGTGTTTCGCATCCCAGGCACATCGTTCTTGTAAATCGTCGCCAACACATTTTTTCTATTCTTCAGCATCCCTCGTATTTCCTCGTCCGGATGTGGATCGTACTTGTCGTTGTCGTTCACGAGCTTAATCCGGACGCACAGTGTCTGATACACGCGATGGATGTGAGCTTTCTCGAAGGCGTACGGGGCCTTCTTCTCCCACACTCCCACAGGGTCGACCAGAAACTCATCGTCCCGGATACCTGTCCAGTCCTTCGTAAGTGCTTCTACGATCGTCTTAAGGGTTCGCTTTTCATCTATTCCGACGATCGCGCTTGGTAACCAGAAGTCGTTACAGCTTCGGATTTTCTTCGATTCAGAAACGACGGTGAGGCAATCTCCGTTCGTGAGGGCAAGGGACACCACCATGGCATTTTGTTGGACGCCGTCGAGTTTGCCAGGCATGCTGAGATGCAATGCTGGTGTGTCGTAGAGGATATGGTCGCCTTCCTTGACTAGCGCTTTAGCTAGAGCTGTGGTATCGATATAGCGACTCGAAGCCATGACGATGGTGATGCGATTAATCTGGTCGCTATGATTGATGCAATGGGCAATCGAGCGATGTGTCGCCACGGAAAATGATGAGAACGATGTTTGCTGGAACTACGTGTATGAAATGGCCCTGCTGCATCGACGAAGAGCGGCGAGGAAATCTGCACCGCATGCCTCTGACAGCATTACGATTTGATAAGAAGGAGCGTTTTGGAACATTGATGAAGTTCCTTCTGCAAAGAAGGCTGTAATACGGAAAAGGATGCTAGATCATGAGGCAAGACCAGCTGGCATTGCAGCAAGTTCTTGCCAGCACCGGTACACTTCCAATTCGAACTCCACACAACTCAGACTCAGACTGTCAAGCACACAGCTACGTTGCGTTGTCTCACGCGTGCTCATGGCCAAGGGCTTCGACAACTCCAAAAACTCGCAACTGCTTGGTGTGTCCTTTGCCCGGAGCAGCAACGGCTCCAGAATCGCCCTGACACCATGGCAATCGCCATGGAAATTGACCACCTGCAGACCTCTCATCTCTGCCAGCGCCGACATTCCCGGCACGTGCATCACGTCCTGGTACTTCTGATTCTTCCTCTTATCCTTAAGCATCGTACAGAAACTCTCGTTCATCTACCACAGTATCCAATTTCTGCAAACCCGTGCAGCTGTGCAAGAGCTTCAGCGCTTTCGCAATGAGGGTAGAGCTATTCCTAGCTCGCAGGGGAAAAAAAACCAGCACGATATGCCTCAACTCGTTCCTCGTAGCTTTCTTTCTCTAGACATCTAAGAAATCATCCCAAATGGTCGATATCCTAACAAACGAAGACATTGCTCCTATCACAGCTTCGCGGCGGATGAACTTCCTTACTCGAAAAACAAAAAATCGCAAGTATGTCTAGAAGCAGCCGAGATAAAATGACCGCGTCGCAGAATTTTGTAAAGTTGGCCACTTGCCACCAGTGCGCAGCTCAAGATCGAGTGGATCTTCAAAGCTCCAGGTTATCAGTCGGGATTCTGGGTGATCGAGACACCACTCTTCGGTAGTCCAACTACCATCTCGTAGATACGAGTCCTCAACTCCGCGGGAAGGTCCAGGAATCGGAACGCGTGCTTCTTCTTCCCCATTCGATCGTCCAGGTCGATTGAAGGTCCACCACTACCATGGACGGAGGTGGGAAATGGGAGATTTGGCGCATGAGCGAGCTGGCAGCACGCCGCCACGAGTCCAGGGGATTTCTTTTTTTCTTTTTTTTCGAAGGGTTGGAATACTCTGGCAAACTCGTCTGACATTTCTTCTGAACCATCCTCGCACAGCTGCGTCGGTCGCGATCTCGTTGTAGTAAGGTAGGCAATCTATCACCCACCAGTCAGTCAGAGAACATGCGATCAAAACACCACCTTTGATCTTCTTTTCCTCACGGGTGATCATCTTCTGTAGCTCGAGCTCGACCAGTCACTGAAGCGCCGTGATTATTGCCAGCTCTTCCATGGATAGATCAGACTTGGAGGTCGGTCATGGGCTGGCGCGTTTTCCACGAGTTGCTTGAGTCTTTGCATGAACTTCTCCTTCTCCTTTGCGGACTGGCAGATTATGTTGAGAGATGTGCGAATTTCTTAGAATGACTCAATTCTCGTTGTTCGAGCACGAAATTTGAATAGATCACCGGGGTGGTGATGAAGCTAGTCTCTCGCCGCCAGACAGTACGTACAGTGAATTAGATGTCTCATGTGATACATACATTCATGCAAGAGTAAGATCACAAAGCAGATAGAACGACGGTGACGCAAACGCGAATCTCCAGGAAAGAGCGATCATTTGATTTTTCAGACATTAGTATCGCCGCCTCTGCCTATTGTTATGGACCAGAATTAGCGCTCCATATCGTGCGCCTGCCTCCATCTATGCCCTTCTGGAAGCATAGAGCAAGCTTGATGGAACGAGCTTCCACGGGCTCGTATCTAGTAGCTGAACTTGAAGCCACCATTTGCGCATACTACGCTGCCTGTGCACCAGGCGCTGTCTGGTGTGCACAGCATGGCTACAACACCAGCCACCTCGAAGTCATACGCCTGAAGGAATTCAAGTCAGCAACATCCATTTCACAAACAACTCACAACATACCGGTCTGCCTCCCGCATTCTCTGCCCCCTCAACTAAATCTTTCCGATCAACCTCTGGGCGGATAGCAGCCAGTGGTGTATTCCTAGTCCAACCAGCCATCTTGGCTTGGAAGTCCGGACTGGTAGCGCCATACATATCTGTCGCAACGGGCCCAGGGTTTACGGCGTTGACGGTTGCCCTCTCACTCAGCTCTCTCGCCCACGTCCTCGTCATGGCTTCGAGTGCAGCTTTGGTTCCGCCGTACATGCCATCTTCGTGGAAGCCCAAGGATGCGCTGACCGAGCTCAAATTCACGATCCGGCCCGATCTGTCGTGTGGGAGGTAGGGTAGGGCGGCTTTCATCAGGAGTAATGGCCCTCGGACGTTGACGTGGTACAAGCGGTCGAATTCCTCGGACGTGCAATCCTCGATGGGGGTTTTTCCTGCGATGCCTGCGTTGTTGATGATGATGTCCAGCTGGAACTTCATGGTTTTGGGATGTGCGAGGTGATTCTTTGCGATGTCGATGATGTGCTGTGGACCTTTCTCGGAACCCATGTCTGCTTGGACGAGGAGAGTTTGAATTCCATGCTGTTGTCGGAGTTTTTCTGCTAGCTTGGTGGCCTTCTCTTCTGAGCTGTCTGACGTGTAGTTCATGATGAGATGGCAGCCTTTGCCTGCGAGATTGTCGCATATTGCGGCGCCGATCTAAAAGGGAAGGGTGGTAAGCGAGGAAAAGCGATTGGCAGCCAGATGAGTTGATTGGAGCAGGCCTTGACTTTACTCACACCTCGAGATGCTCCTGTTACCACTGCGATCTTGCCTTCCAGCACTCGAAACTGGCTGCCGCCATGGATGTTGGTCGATGAGGAGCCGCGGAGGTGCTCTGGGCGAGACATGTTTTTTGGTAGTGCTCGGAACGGTGATAGCTCTCGAATTGTTGAATTGTACTGTTAGAGACGATGATGTTGTTGTTGATTCGCGGGCAGTGTTGCAGTAGAGTTGGGTAAACATGGTGGAGCACGGTGACGGTGACGGTGACGGTGACGGTTACGAAGCGGGGCGGGGCGGGGCGGAGCGGAGCGGCGAAGTCTAAGGTCAGCTTCGTCATACGTAGTTTTGGCAAGTTGTATATAGCTCAAGATATATCGAATATGCGCGATGGCCTTTCTTCCACAGCCTTACGATTATGTTAGCCATGTATCCATAATGGTTGGTCATGATTGCCATGTCATCATATGTAGGTGGGCGTAGAAAGTCTTCACTCCGCGCCTCCAGACACACGCTCCGTTTCAAAAAGTGCGGAGGAACGGCGCTAGCACTGAAACTTGGCTTGCGTTTCGCGGGGGCGGGGACACTGGCTGGAGTAGAGTAGAGATGTGTCTTTGTGGTGGTGGGCCAAATTTAGACAACACCTCAGCTCCTCCATTACGACGCCTCGTACGCTTGCATGACCACACTACACCCTCCTTTCTTTCAACATTCTTCACGCCGCTGCTATCCGAGCTCAGCACATCCTGCGTGCGTAAGCCACATACACTTGCGCCCTCTCTCCTCAGCGCATCTGCAAACCCATCCGGCACGCCTTGGAAAGTCCTTCGCATTACAGCGGCGAGTATGTCGCAAAGACAGTATGGCATTCCATCCGGATACGTGCATGGCGCTTCCACACAGCAAACGAGAACACCGGAGTCGCCAGCAGAAGCCTTGGGGTACGCAGGTCGGCCTGGACATGATGCACAGTCACTAGGGCATGTCGACAACATGTACAATCCCACTTTGAATGCACCTTCACCGGATCCCTACGCGCGTCACTACGACATTACACCGCCGCCGCCACCACAGCATTCAGCGCCTAGTCCTTTCCATCAGCATTCGTCAACATCTTTGACACCACTTACAGCGAACAATCAGGGGGCTCCATACTCATCGCCACCTCGGTCTCCGGAACGCTCACCACCAAGGAACGTGCCACCCATGGCTGCAGCTGCAGCTGCAGCTGCTGGCCTGGGTGCCACAGCAGCCGGATACGAAGGTCAGATGCCTCGAGGCTCATACTACCATGGCGATGGATACGACCATTTTGACCCTGGCTCAATAGCGGACGACGGAGATGATGGCCTGGAGGAAGCACCGCGACGACGGAGTCGCCTCAACCTCGCTGCAGCTGCTGGATTCGGTTCCGGGGCAGTCGCTGGCGCTGGCGCCGGCGCTGCCAAGAGTTTCGGTGCTCGCGATGCGAGTGGCAACTATGGACCGGTCGGACAGGATCCAGACAAGTCGGAATGGCTAACCAAGCAGAGCGGAGGCAACAAGCGACTGAAGTGGATTGTTGGCGGTGTGCTGGCTTTCCTTATCGTCGGAGGCATTGTGGGTGGCATAGTTGGCGGTATTCTTGCAAGCAGCAAGAATGGCGGAAGTGGTGGCAGCAGCAGCGGAGGATCGCATTCTGGCGGTTTGTACGACATCCACTCCAAGGAAGTGCAGGCCGTCTTGAACAACGACAAGTTGCACAAGGTCTTCCCGACCATCGACTACACCCCGAGATACGCCCAATATCCTCAATGTTTGAGCCCAGGCGGTGGACCGGTACAGAACAATGTGACGCTTGACGTTGCACGCTTGTCGCAACTCACTCCGGCGATACGCTTGTATGGAACAGACTGCAACCAGACGGAACTTGTTCTCGAAGCCATCGATCGCCTTGACATGCACGACAGCATGAAAGTGTGGCTTGGTGTATACCTCGATGGGAACCAAACGACGAATGACAGGCAGATGTCACATCTGTACCAGATACTCGACAAGTACGACCACAGCTCCTTCGTTGGCGTGATCGTGGGCAATGAGGTACTGTACGCGAAGACATGGACGGCAACACAACTTCAGACGCAACTCCAAGAGATTCGCAACAACTTCACATCCAAGGGCATCAACCTTCCCGTATCAACAGCCGACCTAGGAGATAACTGGGATGCAACCCTTGCCCAAGCCTCAGACATCGTGATGGCGAACATCCATCCCTTCTTCGCTGGCACCGTTGCAAAAGACGCTGCAAGCTGGGCCTACACATTCTGGCAGGGAAAAGACATCCCCCTGAAAAGTGCCAAAACAGATCAGACGGGAACTCTCATCTATCCCACACAAATCATCTCTGAGATCGGCTGGCCGAGTCAAGGCGGCAATGACTGCGGCGATGCCAGCGATCCGGCATTTGGCTGCACATCAGAAACAGACGGCGCGGTGGCCAGCATTGACAACTTAAACACCTTCATGGATGGATGGGTGTGCGATGCTTTGAGCAACGGTACTACCTTCTTCTGGTGAGTTTCTCCCGCGCTTATTCCCAGCTTGGGCAGGCGTTCATGCAAGCGGGAACCATGCTGACAACTCTCACCCTCCCTTTCTAGGTTCGAGGCTTTCGACGAGGAATGGAAGCATCAATTCGATACAGAACACAACAAATGGGAGTCTGCCTGGGGCCTGTTTGACAGTGACAGGAGTCTCAAAGACGGTAGGGTCACCCTATCTAATCCATATCCATCCATCCATCCATTCCTTGAAACTAGCCGATGTTTAATTTACTGACTTTTCTGATGGTCTAGGCATTAAAATCCCCGATTGCAGCGGGAAGACGATTGATAAAGCATACTGATAATGATTGATGAAGAAAGAATTGGTTAATGTAATTTGCATTCTGAAAATCGATACGACATCAAAGCGAAGGCGTTCTCCGGGGGGCATTTGGGATCAGAGTAGCATATGGAATGGTCCGGGACAGCTAGCACGAGACTTACCAATAACTACTACGGCTAAATTGAACAACAACAAGAAGAAAGAGAACGAAACTACAGAATTGGCTTCAACAGTACTAGCATGGGAAGCCAGCTAGCCAGCAACAGGCGATAGAAGAAGCCTGTAGCGCGAAAAAATTCTATTGACTAAATTGATAAGAATCCATCGCATTCGGTGATTTCGGTCGGCACTTATTATCATCATGAAGCAAAAACAAACCCCCCTACAAACCTTCACCTTCACATCCTCCCGATCTGTCCTGCGTGCATCGTGCAGTCTCTAGAGTCCGAATAAGGGGCTCTCTCTCCGAAGAGGAAAAATAAAACCCCCCCTAACCACAAGTATCATAATCCTAAAATTGATCTATTAGTACTAATTAGTATAATAACAACAAGAAAACAAACAAAACGAAAGTCAGTAACCAGTCAGCAGCGGATATGCATATACATAATCCCGATAGTGCTAAAAGCTAAGAATGAGTCTGCCAGAACAACAACAAAAAAAAAGAGGCTGGAAATAAAAGGTGGGTAGTAATCATCATCAGACCACCACCGTAACGTTCCCGGTCGTCGACTCGTCGAAGCAAGCAAGGTATATTGGCCGGCAGATGCTGATGAGATGCGTATACTGATGAAACAATCAAGATACATTGTTGCAACGTCACCACTTTTCAAGACATGTAATTGGAAGAAATGTAGAAAAAAAAGCCTCTTTTTAATCAACGATGAACAAGCCAAGCAAGCTATGCTAGTTTGTGTGCTATGCTACGCTCGGTACAATGTGACTGCTGAGTACGCGCGCGTGCGTTCCAGCCTGGACGGTTTTCGTACATCGCTGATCATTTAAGCAATTCCGTACGTACAGCTGAAAGAAAAGAACAGCGCGCTGAGCATAATTAAAAAAAAAGCAGAAAAAAAAATTAGTGCGACAGAATATGTGCGTCGCCACATCATATGTGTAGTAGTAGTAGTAGTAAGAAGACCAACCAACGCCATCGCTCGCTCTTTTTCCACCTCTCTAGCAATCTCGACAAAAGGCCGTGGGTTTATGTGACAGCACTCTCGTAACGCATGCCATCATGTGAGATGTCGACAATGCCGCGACCGAGTTTTCCGCCCAGTCTCAACTCCATTACGCCATTAGTATCAAAGTCATGATGAGGTGAGCTCTCTCAAGGCATCGAGTCAGCCCGCCTGGCTCGCTTGTTTCTCTCGAGCCACTTGCGCTTTCCTGGCCGAGTCTCGAAGTGAGGCGCGATGGTCGCTGTGTCGCTGCCTCCAGCAATCATTGTGCTGCGCATCTTGTTTCTATAAGCGTCGAGAGAGCGTTGAAGGAATAGTGTTCGACCTGAATCATCGTTAGCCGCCATGTGGTGACGTTGGAATAGAGTGCGACATACCATTGAACGTTCTCGCCTGGCCCCAGCTCATGCGGTAGCCAAGCTCATTCAAGGCGACCTCCTTGCTTCTCTTGGATTTGGTCATGCGAGGTACTGGCAGTTTAGCCTCGCTGCCGTCCATGAGCGAGACGGGCACGAGGGTTTTGCCCTGTGGTGGCAACGTCTGTCCATCCTCACCCTCATCGTTCTCGTCGTCCCAGTTGCCACGTGCACCCGGGGATCCGGGCGGCGACCTCATCTGACGGGGAAAGTATGAACGTGGGTAGACGGCGTTGATTCTCAGATGGGCATCGGGCATGTCGTCCATCTTGACTTGGTCCAGCATGACACGCACTCGGACGCGGGTACCACGTTGGTTGTCATCGACGAGGATAAACTTGCGTCGTTTGGACTCTGGTACATCGCCGAATAGGGCACGCCTGTGCTCTTCATCTTCTTTTTTGACAGATTCGCGAGCTGGTGTGGCAAGCGTGGAGGCTTGGCTGTGCATGGGATCCATGGCGTCGTGGACTGAGGGCATGGACGAGCCTCCCACACCTGGTTGCTGGGGGTACGAGGGATAGAAGTTCTGTGAATAGCGGCCCGTAGAAGGCGATGTCAGATCGTTTTGCCCGTTTGTCGGCTGGTTAGGATGCCCGGTTCCACTACCGTATTCATTTCCGGCTGTAAGGAGAAGCGAACGATTAGCGTGAGAACTTGAGTGATGTGCTGCATGGGTGTATGCGAAGCGAGAAAAACAGGGTATCTTGAGGGTATCGATGTGCAGCGAGCGAGCGAGCGAGCGAGCGACGAAGAAGTGTACAAGAACCAGTTCAACAACAACAACAGTCTGCGGCAGCTGCAATTTGCGCTACAGCGCCCTCGCGAAATAATCATGCTGTACAAGTGTGCACAGGCATTTGATCGGTCTTCCAAGTTTCCTCCATCGACGACTCCACAAATGCAGGTGCAATAGCAGTAGTAGTACAGGATATCATTCACATCTGGTGGAACATACCGCTAACATCGTTCCCACCGCCGGGCTCACTTCCGTCGGTATGGTGGTGGTGCATCTGAGGTCCAGGGCCCATGGGCGGTCGGCCAGAACCAGGAGGCATGCCCTGTGGTGGCAGGCCTCCGCTACCTGGGCCCTGTGGACCTGGGTACTGACCTGGCGCACCAGGTGTCGCTTTCGCTGCGTTTCTATTCTGGATCTTTGCCATGCGTCGGACTCGGCGACTGCGAAGCCTGACGTCCTGGTTGCTGTTTCTCCAGCTATCCACAGCGCGTTGAATCAGGCCGCGTTTCTCGCGCAAATTGGGATTCAATTGCGCGAGCGCCCAACCGACCGCGTTGCATTCGCTCTCGTAGTGTAGGCGATTTCCCTTGTATTGGTCTTTCCCACAGCACGCGCGCGGGTACACACAGTTGGCCGACTTGAACTCGGGGCTCAATTCGTCGACATTGACGGATTCGACGTCGCAGCGGATCGTGTATTCCATTTTCACACGGTCGCGCGAGTATTCAAATGCGATCCATTGCACGCCATTGTTGTCTTGTCGCACAACTAGCGGTGTGGTCGCGGGAATGGGACCGGGCGCTGCGCTCGAGTTAGGGCCGTGATCTGAAGAAGAAGAGGTCGGAAGATGGCCGTGCATACCTGGTCCAGAGGGAGTTTGAGGTGCTTGGGGAGGAGCAAGTGCAGAAGGTGGTCGTTGGAGGGAGGATTGCGAAGACTTGTTATCAAGCATGCCTTGCGGGTGACCGGCTTGCGCTTGTGGCGGCTGCTGCATGTGTTGCTGCGGCTGCTGATGCGACATAAGCATGCCTGGCGCCGAAGTCATGGAGGAGTGCGATGCAGCAGCAGGATGCTGGCCGTACGGCGACTGCTGCTGCTGCATCTGATACTGTGGATAGTACATTTGTTGTGGCATGGAGGGTATGCCATACAACGGGCGACCATGTGCGTCAGTTTGCGGCGAATGGATGGAAGCCGGTGAGTTCGACTGTGGAGTCTGGTAGCTTGAGATTGGCGGATATGTCTGACGGCTGATCGCCGCTTGCGTGGCCATGCTTTCGTTCGGTTCTGCAAAGCTGGTCAGTCCTAAACTGAAGGAACGCGCCATGGCAGGCAACTTCAGCTGGCGATCAAGCCATTGTCGTTCGGGGGTTCCAGAATATCAGTTTAATTTGTTTCAACTCACCTGATGATGCGTAGCTCCCTGCAGCGCTGTTCGAGGAGTAGGGACTGGGATGGGCGCCAAAGAAGTGTGCCTCTCCCGACGACTGCGAGGGGATGCCAGGAACGGAGCCGATGTACGGCGACTGGTGCTGTGATAGGCTGTGAGAGGATGAGTGTGGCGAGATGTAGGGACCGTTAGAGGCAGAAGTGATGTTATTCTGCGATTGGTGAGGGGAATTTGGGCGATGTTGCTGTTGCACTAGGCCTGCCGATCGAGGATGCTGCAGAGGTTGCGGAGGCGGCAAACCCTGCTGATGGCCGGCATTTGGTTGATTCTAATAGAAGAGCTATAGTCAGTATAGGCGTGCGCAGGGCCGGGCGATGCTATTGCTGCGATGGGCGATGGGCGGGAGGGTAGAGTTGTTGGACGTCAGATGTTTATTGTGTTTCAACGGGTGTCCATCGATGATCCTGGCCGGGGAGGGCGCCGGGAAGTGTGGATGGGCCGGCAAGGCTGGCAGCGACAGGCCAGGCCAGGCCAGGGACAGGGGAGTTGGCTTGGGCAGAGGATGGGGATGGGGATGGGGGTGCGATGCGCAGCTGTCAAGCCGTGTGCGCGGCGCTGTGGAGGGAGGGGTCGCTTCGCTTCGCTTGGCTTCGCTTCGCTTGCTTGCTTGGGTTTGGCGGGGACGGGAAGGGCAAGCACTTGGAACTCGACGCTTTTGAGTTGCGCTCCACCAAGGCAGAAGGCAGGCAGGCACGGCCGGCGACAGCAGGAAGTGGGAAGGCTTTGAGTTTTGCCGTGCAGAAAGGAAATGTGTCGCAGGTGCTTCATCAAACGCAAAACAGGCCGGGCGCGGGTGTTGCGTTGGCGGTAGCGCGGTTGGGCGGTTGTGTCAGAGTCAGAAGGGTGGATGGGCGGGGAGCAGTAGGCAGTGACGGTGATGATGGTGGGAAGGTGCGAGGTGAGGTGGTAAGCAGCAGCAGCAGCAGCAGCAGCAGCAATGTGGTGGCAGCGTACCGGCAGCGTGTGCAAAGGGCGCGTCTCGAAAGACTGCATGGCGGCAGGAAATGCGCGTGGTGCTTGGAGTGCGACGACGGACATGCGCGCGCTGGGAACGGTGTAGTGCCAGATTCAGAGTGAGATTCAGGGCGTGCGCGTGCGTGCGTGGTCTTGAGCGGTAGGTCGTGCTTGAAGGATTGGATTGGTTTGGGGTTGCCAGCAACGATCAGATCCGTACCAAGCTTGGCGTGCCAGACCGCAGTACCGTATGTATATACAGCAGCAGTGGAGTCCGACGGCTTTGGTGTCGATCGCCCAGCGCTCTGGCAGCGTTTGGAAGTGCTGCTGCTGCTGCTGCGATGGATGGCGCTGGATGCTTCGTGGGCCGGCAGGGGCGCGTTGTGTGGTAGAGTATTCAGAATGTGCAGCAATAAAACGTTCTCTCTGACTCTCTGCGTCGCGAGAACAAGCGTGCAGATACGTGCTGGTGCTGCAGGATGGAGGCAGATCAAAACAATCTCATACGTACCATGTCGCTGCCGCCCTGGTCGCACGTCCGTCGATTCCCAGAGGGCCTGGTGAGCCCGGCGCGCGAGACTTCTCACTCCCAAAGCCAATCCCCAAACAGGACGGTCAGCAGCCTGCGCGGTGTCGAGAATCGATGCCCGGCCGCCGTATCGAGCTGGGATGGGCGTCCAGACAGGCGGTCGGGGCGAGTCGTGTCGCAGCGTCGTGTTGGCTGCCTGTCGTCTCTGGCCTTGACGCACGACGCAACCTTGTTCGAGATGAATGGAGGTTCAAGGCCTGCCTGCCAGCCTGGCCTGGTAGTGCGCGCTGGGGGATGCCGCGCTGCTGGCTGGCGAGAGTTCAAGGGTAATGATCCGATCCGAGCGCGCAGGGCAGGGGCACGCCAGCCCTTTTACGAGCCCCGAGGTTGCGAGAGTGACTCGGCAGTGGTAGCTGGCTCTGTTGTTGTCCCCGACCCTCTGCAAATAATGCCCTGGCACGGGTGCGAGGAGTCAGCCAGACGTGCGTCGTGCGTGCGACCGTTAGCTACCCAAAATTATCATCCCAGGCGCAGCGGCGTCGCGTCTCAGTCGCTCGGCAAAAATGGGCCACGCTGCATCCTCCGTCTTCACACACTACTACCCACCTACCCTACCCACTCTGCACGCGCTCGGGCCACCCACACAAACACGACACGAAGCCAATACGGAGCCTTTTCTGAATAATGTCACTTGTAGCATTTGCAATTTGCAAATTGCGAGCATGCCGTCGTTTTGCTGAAGCTTCACTTCACGCCGCTGCTACACTCATCAGACCGTCTGCGCAAAGCGTGCCTGCCCGCCGCCGAGCTGACATGTACCCTCCTGTGCATCCGTTCAATTTCATCATGCGCACTAAGTTGCCGCACATGAGATGATGGCCATATGGCACGCTCAGCAGCAATAGCACTGAGCAGAGCCGACCTTTGACCCTAAGCTTGTATCTGCCTGGCCGTCATTATTACCACCCAAACATCTGCAATGATGCATTGTTCTCAGGCCAACGCGCGTGCCACGCACAGCCTCTTCATCCAACACGAGATAATCATCATCATCATCATCAGAATCAGCATCATCATCTCGTTCAGGTCACACAACGTCTACTCGCTTCGGTGCTAACCCCGCCGCTTATTGTTGCGTCGATCCACTCACCAAGCTCCACCAGCAATATATCATATCATGGGAATCGGTTCTGTAAGCGGCATCGAGCATGACGGACTGCAGTCATGCGCGGCATTTGGTCCACCGCCGAAACGTCTTCACCATCACCATCATACCGTGCCTTCCTCTATCATCGGCTCGCTCCATACCAACTCGATCCCGTATGGCTCGTTGGAATTATGGCAGGCCAGCAGGTACAGTAGCTTGTGCATCCAGACCAAGCATGGCATGCCGGATCATGGCCCATGGATGGTCCTCCGGACCTCTGCTAGTCGACCCACTGATGCAGGGTGACGGTCTGGCGTGGCAGCCATCCGGCCCATTCGCAAGCGATGCTGGAAGTGTGGAGCCCGCGCTGCTTGATTGGTGCAGGCACGCCGGCCTCCCACCGAATGTTCGAACTCAGCAGTCAGCATGCGCTGTGTTTCAGACACATTTGCGGCATCATCCACTGACTCGCATGCCGATGGACCGGAAGGCGACCAACCAACGCTGCCTACCACGAAGCTCTCGCACTACGGAGAATTCCTTTCTGCTCGACACCTCTAGGCGCATCGTTAGCGCTAGCCCATTTATGATTGTGCTTTTGAATGTTGAAGTAGTGGGATGTCCGATCGCGAGGCGAGGCGAGGCGAAGCACTTTCGCAGCTGCAACACGCGTGCTCGCCGTGCTGCTGCTTGTGCGTGTGTGTGTGCGTATGCGTGTGATAAACGCATCTCGGCTGGATTGCCCACCTCAACTGTCGCCGCTCGCCGTTCGTAGGTGCTGATTATCGTTCGACGACAGCAGCGCCTCTTTATCCTAGCCTCACGTGGCTACCTGGTCAACTGAAGCGCCCGCCGCCTCCTTCTCGGCCTTCTCTCCTCCTGCTGCTGCTGCTGCTCCTGGCCCTTGTCCTTGTTCCCCGACGCTGCCGACTGTGAGGCGCCATGATCGTCTTTGGCCCAAAGCGCAGATGCATTGTGTGTCCCGACGTATACCCTGGCAAATCACCCTGGCTCGCGATGTTGTCGAATTTGGACGCGCGACATTTTGCTCTCTGCAGCGGAAGTCGACTTGCAATTTCGGAGAATCACAGCAGATATTTCACGAAGGAGAGCTCGCTTAGAAGCTTGCTCATACAGCAGGAGGAGCCAAAGCGTAATAAATGATGCCGAAGCATGTGGCGCAATGCGCACTCTGGTCCAACTTTAAGCCCAACGGCTGTGCATAGATGATTTTAGCGCCAGCCTTGATCCGGGACGTGACAATCCTTGCGTGCCTGGCGCAGGCGCACACACACCTCGGGACAGCAGTTCGTCGTCTCCAGAATCAACCAAAACGTCCACCACATGGGCTCCTGTCAAACTGGGATGGCCGACGATCTCGTGTAGGACAAGGCAATGTGTGCCTGCCGCCCTTCGAACCCAGCACGTTGGTCAACAATGCAAGCCTCAGGAGCGCAGTGCACTGATCGGGCAGAGGGAATTCAACAATGTGCATTGTGGTCTGCCGCCGGCCATGCAGTGACCATAATTCTACCTATGCCCCAACCAACTTGGACAATTGTGCCACCTTTGGCTTCTCACTAGAAATCTGTGCGCTTCACGAAGGTGAACGAGGCACTTGGTGAAACGCAAAGAAATATGGCATCGTCAGCCTCACAAGCCCCATTATTCTCTAGCTGCACTCATCAATCCAGGGCCCACGTCTCAGCCAGCTTGACAGGAAGATGGCGCAACGGCGAAGCCGCCTTGACTCAGTCTCTGACGCCCGAAGTGTGACGGGTCATGTGAAGACAGCATGAATGCACGCTTGGCGCCTTCGACGTCGACGTCCTCTGTCACGAAAGACAGTACGTGCGTCGAGCAATCGCATTCGAGCTCAGACTGCACTCCAAAATGCACCGCCGCATGTGACGCTCGCTGCTGTTACGTTGAGAGCGAGAGCAAAGCTATACCATGATGCAAAGTGAAACATCCGCCAAACTTTGAAAGGCGAACGGCGTTGTGCTGAACAGACTTTAGATAGAAACAGGGCTTCATGGCTCCGCACCGTTCCGCGCCCGGATCGACACCCAAATGAGCCTTGCGACTGCAAAACACTGGTAGGAACCTTAATTCACAACGTCCCAAAACGACGACGAGCATGATGAAACAACATGATCGGGAGTCGCATTATTGCACCTGCTCAGAGTCAACAACTTGCAGCGGCCAATACCCTCCGGCGGCACAGGCCTGCATGTGCTACGTCTACTCACGAGATGAGGAAGAGCGCTCACCATGCATCGTATCAAGTCTAGCCTCCATCGGGCCATGAGGGAAATGGGATTGGAGACATGCCGAAGTTCAGGCATTCCTCGAGGCTTTGCATGCTTGCAGCTTGGAACATGCCATGTCCTTGCTCCTCTATCCCGGCAAAGAACCCATACCGTCTGCCGGTGTGTTTGCCCGTCCAGGCTCCCCAACACCTTCACTCGATTCCCCGGCCTTGAAGCCTGTCATCACTATTGCCTGTCATCGTGGAAGACAGCTATTGCACAGACGGTGCGGTAACGCATGCAGCCATCCTTCCGACTATATACCCTTTTGTTAGCGCTATAGGAATAGCCGCCTCTAGCCGTTTCTAGTAGATACTAATCTCCTATTAGTTAGTATAGAGCAGATAATGTTAGCGGAAATATCGAGTAATATACCTTCTATATAGCGGAAGATATAGAAGGTACTATATATATAGTATTAGCCGGGGGTTTAGTTTAAAGAACCGCTTATATAAAACTATTCTAGCCTTCTTATTAGTAGAAATTAAAATATTTCCCCTACGTAACTATAACCTTAGCCTTAGCGTCCTTTATATTACTAATACTATATACGTTAAAATATATAATACTAAACCTACTACGTATTAAAGGCAAGGCCTAATTATTATTCTACTTGCCTCTAGCTTCGCTTAGCTATACTAACCTATACTCTAGATCTACGGATAATTTATAGTAATATAGAGGTTCTCGATCTATAGTAGATAGATCTACGTTTATTTAACTAGGCTTAAAATAAGGCTAGTTTTCCTAGTAACGACGAGCCCTATAGCGAATCTATAGTAACGATAACTTTTATAGGCTTTAGTTAACTAACTATTTAGAAGCCGAGGAACTTCTATTAGCTATTTAGAGTATATCTAATCGACTTATCTTACTCGACTAGGTCTACTCGCTTTTTAAGGTCTAGTTTTAAGAAAGCTAGCGTTTTTATATATTTATATACTACTATAGTATAACTATTTTAGACTACTTTATCTTAATACTTTATACGCTTATTATATATATTAAGACCCTTTATTTAAGCTATTTCGTATATCTATATATAGTATAGTTAGTATATTCTACGTATCGAGGGCTACTAGCTATTCTATTTTAGCTCGCTTAGCCGACTTTCGGAAGTCGGATAGGTCTTACTAATACCGACTTAGTAGTACTTAGCTATTCGACTAGGCTTTAGGCTACCTAGTTATATATTGCTATATTCTATTCTAGTATAATAGTAATAATTTTAGAATTATAGAACTCGATACGGCGATTATTTTAGTATAAGAATTAATATATTTAGATTGCTATAGAGTGTACATTAATTCGTAGAAGTATCTGACTCGAATGCTGACATGCTGACAGATCCGCGCCAACGAAAGGGTGTATGGTCGAAAGGATGGCTGCATACGTTACTCGACAAGCACATGCTCTCCGCCCTTCCCAGCCGCCATGCTAGACACCTGGACACGGAGAGCCAGGGCCCGACGACATGATCTCCCGCAGCGATCAGAGTTGGTCAGCTACACCGACCGGCATTTACCGTCGCACTAGCACAACAAGAAGAGGAGACAAGGTTGGTAGACTTGTTGACAGCCCGATTGAGAGACAGCTTTCATTAACGCGGGACAATTGAAGACGATGATTGCCGATGGCAGAAGGCAAAGTTAGGCAGCACACGACGAAATTTCTCCCTCTTATCTTTGGAGCTATTGAAACTCTACTTTCCGTGAGTCGGCGAGGTGAATGATCTATGACCTATTCGCTATAACTAGTCTCACCACGGACCCGCACGTGCATGAGCTGCCTGGGCAGTCCACTTCCCATACCGGCTTCTGCTTCGAATTGCAGGAAGTCGAGTCGACGTTCTAGACCTCTAACTATAGTCTCCGCCTGGTCACTATTATAACAATTGTTGTTGTTGGTGCCTTCATTAAGTAGTCTGCATCACATGGTAGGATGTGAAAGTATTGTATTTCGAAAGGTAATCTGGTTTCACACATCCTCGTCTCCGATGCGATCTCAACACAGGCTTGTACTGGCGAACCACTCCAGTAGTAGTTCGAACCAGGCACCTTGTAGACTTGCAAGATTACAGCTGTCTCGGCAGATATGTGTGCATAGCATGGGACCCATCAGCGTTAAGCGATCTCCTATGAGCAAGGTTGGGATAGGTAAATCGGTGGCAGAACATCACACAGGCAGGAAGTCAATTCTATCACTCAACACATCAGATGACACTCTAATTCCAATCTCCTTTTTTTTTCACTTCGATGAAGGAGAAGGACAGTGCTCCTGAAATGGGTCCCAATCTGGGCGATTGGAAGAGCAAACTTCTTGAAAGTGAGGCCACTGTAACTGTGCCGTATGATTGAGCATTGATTGCCGCAGCCTTCCGGGATTCCGAGTCCTGATCAAGACAATCGATGAGAACGACCGAGCATTGTCAGTGGGTGGATCGAGACACGAACCAACACTCCCGCCGTAATGTGATGACCTCCTCGATACGCGTTCTGCAGAAGTTAGGAGAACTTACTCAATGTGGACAAACGAGACTGCCTTCGCAAACCTCTCATCTTATTACTGATGCTGTGACTTGAAGTGGCAGGGCTCATGGCTCATGGCCAAGTCGTGCGTCGTGGAGTCGGTTGCACACGAGCGATGAATGATACCAGGGAGTAAGAGCCGAGAGCGGTACAGATGGGACCGAACGACGCAACGACGGACAGTAGACTGTGTCACCGTCTGTCTTTGATGATCGATTCTACCACCTGTTTGTAAAATGTCTTCCTCTGGTATCATCCTCCTGTTCCCTGATGATGCTACGGCTTCCGCATCAAACCATCTGACGCTGTGCGTAGACAGCCGCTATATCGAGACCGGTCCTCAAACCCAGCATATGATAAAATGACAGTCGGTGCCTTGACTGTCACTCGTATCAGCCGCGTCGTTCTTGCTTATGATATCCGTTGGCGTCGTTACGACTCCCTGTCGGTACTGGGCAGCGTGTAGTGACAAGCTTGAGAGACTTTTATCAGCCTTTACGGCTCTGTGCACTAGATTGTACGTTCTCCATTGTGCGATCAAGCCTTGGCCGCGAAAGAACGACCGCAATGACGACCTGGGCAATGGTGACTTTGTATACAGTAATGAATTGTTCGTGTCTTGACGCATCGTAGATCAACGACGATTGAGTAATCAATAAGATCTGCGCAGCATTGCATCTCGACACACTGCTGTAAATGACTTCATCATCCCGATGAAAGTCTGGTGAAAGAGCCCTGATGAACAGCATACCCGGGAAAATATCGTCTTCCAGAAGACTATAATAAAGCCGGTCTGACTCTGACTCTACCTTCACCAGCTCTAGGTCCCTCATTATCAGGGCTCACACGATACCTAGCCGCGGCATCGACAGGCAAGTCTCTTGCCCAAACAATCTTATAATCCTAGTGAATCATCTTGCGATCAGATCTTCTTTTCACACGTGGCATACCACCACCACCTACAACATCCTGCAATCCAAACCCTCCCACTCCTACATCACAATCAAGAATCCACCTCCTCGCAACCCCCTCCGCAACGCCATCCCCATCCCTCTACGCATCACGCGCAAGTAAAATCCCACTCACAATCCACCCCAAACTAAACATAACCTCCCTCCCTCCCCTCCGCCAACCAAGCCCCCCCAAATCCGCCCTCCCACTCTCACACCTCTCCAGAAACCTCTCCCACGCATCCCTCAACCGTGTCTTTATCTCCAAATCTTCAATCCCGCCTACACTCCTCTCAACCCACTCCCCAAAAATGTATAAATGATCCTGCTTCATCACGAGATGGCGAAGGACTTCCGAACTTAAGACATTCGTCGTACCTTCCCACGTCATATTCGCAGCCGTATCGCGATATTATCTCGAGATATTGGATTCGGGTTCGTCGGGTTCGTCCATGTAGCCTACGCCGCCCATCGATTCTTGGGATTCTTGGGTGGAGGGAGATGCAGGAGAGTTTGCAGATGATAGCTTTGGAGGTTGCGGTTAGGGTGCGGAGGAGTATTTAGGTTTGATGGCCTGGGAGAAGGAGAGGGAGGGATGATGATTTTGGGGGAGGGTGTCCGTTGTCGGAGAAGGAGAGGAGGGATGTTGTGCAGAATGCGAGGTGGAGGAGGGCGCGGAATTTTATCTCCATGCGAGAGAGGAGGCGGAGGTGCATTGGGAAGGTCCAGAAGGGGCGAAGGATTTGGATATGAACTGGAGGCGTGATATATGGTTAGCATATGCAGTAAATTCTGTGGTGATGGGAGTTACTCACCATTCCTCTTCGCCAGCACGATAGTGCCGTGATGAAGTTGTGCGTGCGAGTCGTGTTCAATAGCGTAGCTATAGTAGCGATTCCACGCCCAGGTGGTCCGACCTACGATCGTTAGACGCTCTCAAGAATTCGATGATATTTTCATATTCACTCACCCGCCGAGCCCTCACATCTTTCAACTCCAACTCAGCAGTCGGCAACTCCTTCGCTCCCATCTTCGTCTTCAATCGATGAAACCTAATCCCATTCGTAACCAACTTCCCATCCCTCCCCTCAATTTTCGTCGGCGCAACAAAAAGTCCCAGTTTCCCCGTATCAGCTTCCTGAGCCAACATCAAAGCAATCTGACAATCGGTCGCCGAGCAAAAAAACTTATACCCAGACACAAGGAAATCCCCATTTTGAAATCCCACACCACCACCTCTCTCCTGCGGCGGCGAGTAAACAGCAACAGACTCAGAATTCCGAACATCACTCCCCCAACCCTCTCCGTCATCTACTGCGAAGAAATCTGATTCTCCTCCCTACCGATCAATTTCCGAAACACCTCATGAAAAGGATGATCGGGAAAATCCCTAACCGTAGGCTCTCGCGTAATTTGTGCCTAAAACAATCTCGCAGCACTACTCGTCATAGAAACAGGACAGCTGTAAACCGCACTAGAAGCAGAGTAAAGATAGTTAAAAGCATGTTGAACGATCCTGCCATACTCCCTAAATTTCCCCTCATAAGCGAGAGCAACGACACCGTTTGAGATACCCCATTTCCCGAGTTCTTTCCATCCGTGAGAGGTGATGAGTTTATCGTGAGGGAATTCGTTGGTCCAGACGTCACGTTTCTTGAGGTATGGAGGGTTTCGTTCTGCGTCGGAGATCCAGTCGTTGATTTGGTCTGAGATTGCTTCGTTGCCGTATTTGATTAATTTGGGGTTTAGTTCTTCTAAGATGTGCGGAGGTAGGTACCAGGAGAGGACCCTTTGGTACGCGAGGTCGGATGTGTATGGATTTTTCAATGGTTGTAGTCGGAGCTTGAAGCCTTGGTCGAGGGTAGAAGGCTGTAAAGTCGATTAGAGACGCAACCCTTGCACTTTCTGCCGCAGTGCCTGACGGCTTCGCGTCAACATGATAGTATATGTCTGTATCATTCTTGTCATTAGCATGTCGTGAATTTGTTTTCTTGATGGCCAATGTATTCTGGATGCCCATCAACCCCACTTTGAGTTATTCTCTCCGACCGAGGCGAGTGAACGTACACAGCTTGCTAGGCAGTGTTTCAATGGCTAGATGAGACTGCACATACGATGGTGCGTTGCGGAAAGTCAGACGTCTGAATTATGTTGACCTCTTTCCAAGATTTCATCGAGATGATCTGATCGACAGAACTGAGCCTATTTGGTTATCACAAGTTCACTGCCTCCGACAAGAAATTCGAATCATTACGTTATCATCCAAGCGCTATGCTAGTCAAAAGCAAGGTCAATATGTATATGGGATTGCTCAGGCCGATCGTCTTCTGTCACTACTGATCAGCGCTGTCTTGCAGGATGCCGCTGTGGTACAATTGGTGATTCCGGCTCTACCAAGCTGACCATAGATGAGCTCGTTGATGACCACCACCCTTCTGGTCTGCTTCTGACGACTGTTCGATCGGTATCTGTGCTCGCACTGATACAAGCACTTTCTGGCGAATTCTGCAAATTATCAGAATATATCGTGTTCTCATCCTGTTGGTTCGACTGTTCTGTTGTGGCCGTCGCTGTTCGCTGTCGTGATGCACCCGCATTAGACGCCGGCGCTTGACGCGTCCTAGGCTCGTGTAAGGTCAACGTGGTATGCGAAGAGCGAGAGGCAGAACGTACAGCTGGATTGGATATTGAAATGTTTGCAGAACGAGCATCAGAGATTGGCGGACGAGAAGAGTAGGCGAATGCGCTGGGTGTGAATGCTACCGGTCCATCGGGACTTGAAGGACTGTCATCAGCGGAATCGTCGTCGTCACTCTCATCCATTTGCTCTTCCGCAGTGGACGGTCGCTCAAATGCTGGAGTGTGAGGCATGCTATGGTTGCGAGCAGATTCGTCCTCTGAGTAGCCAGGCGGCGCTGAGCCATTGGGTGTCAGTCCCGTCGTATCGAAAATGCTTGGCCGAGTTCGTGTTTGCCAACCTAGAGCTTGGCCTTTAGTATCTGATGGTAGCGCGTAACTTTCCAGAGCCTCAAGCACATGGGGAAATACAAGAGTATCAACATCGCTTGCCCAGAGCAGATCGAGATGTTCGTACTTTGGCACGCATTTAGCGACAGTATGTCTTGGAAGCTCCTTCAACATGACATTGATGTCAACCAGACTGTCGCTTCCTCCATAGACAAGCACAATTGGTGTCTTGATATTTCTCGTGGGAAACTTGGCGACCTTGTAATACTTGCTTCCAGTGCTGAAGCTGGTCGGACTGGTGATTTCATCATCAAACATCTGGAAAGTACCATTTCTGATAATCTGAAACCAGTGGACCACACTCTTGGTGCTTGTGAAGGAGTAAAGATGCGGATAGGCGGCAAGCTTTTGATGCGGAGCGATGTTCGCCATCTTCCAACCAAAGAGGAAGGCCAGGCTCTTGTCAATAACCCAGGTGAAGATGCCCGGATAAAGAAGAGCTTGCCACATGGTGGTGCTACCGAGGATGGCTCGTCTTCCAAATAGAAGGTAGAGGACTTGAGGATTCGATTTGACCAGAGAGCTTACAACACCAGACGCAATGCCTGGAGGAGCCATAGCAGGTGCAAGCGCAACGAAAACGTCCACCTTCGAGTTCAATGCTGGATGGATTGAAAGTGTCGCGAAAGCTTGAGCGGTGCCCTGGCTGAAGCCAATATATGACAGGCTTGGCTGATGAGTAGCACTCAAGATATAGTTGATGCTATCCGGGATGTCGTGGAAGGCGAATTGATCCATACTAAAGTTCCAGAACTGTGTATCTGTTGGCCCATGATGCAAGCTCTTCTTGCTGTATTTGTTTCCTCGATTGTTGCCAAGCCAGACATCGTAGCCTTGTTCAACAAGCAAGAATGGCAGACATCGCTCCTTCTCAGTGATACAGACCCAGACCTCGCTGTTCATCATCAAGCCGTGGTGCAGGTAGACGACCTTTTTCTGAATGCTGCCAGGTCCATTGTTCACTCGCTGGTCCTCCTCGCCCCGTCGCCAAGCCAGACGATGCACGCCCAGCAGGAAGCCATCTTTCGTCTGCACGACATGTTCCTCTGCCAAATAGCCATATTGTTCGCAAAGTTCCACAAAATCGTGGGCTTGAGCTAGCGGACTCGAGACATTCTTTCTCCGGTTCCTGGCGCGTCGGGAGTACGGCGAAGAGAGGCTATTGAAGGCATTTCGAGACAGGCGATAGAATATGCGAATGATCGGCGTCGGTAGGAGGAGTGTTATAGTGCGTACGATGAGCTCCAGGAAAGCTATGAGGAAAGACGCGACCAGGGCAAAGTATTCGTAGGGATATAGCCGCCCGATAAAGGGTATGGGTGCCATGGTCGCCTTTTCAGGACGATATTGGATGTTATTGGGAGCAAGTCTTACGATATGAAGAAGGTCGACACATCGCCAGGCACGTAGTCTTTAAGATGGATCGTGTTGAGCAGCGGTGAGGATGTAGGAAGCAAATGATCTGCCTGCATTCCGTCATTGTCACATGAAGTGTCTGCCGACAGCCGATGCAGGGCCTCCGATGCTGGAAGCTTTGTTGGACACACTATTCATCTGAGCGCCAACTCATCGAAGAAAGTCACAGGATCGAAGCATCAACCGCGTCGTTATCATCCAGGTAGTGGGAAGAAGCTGTCACGATGCCATCTTCTTGCACAGACATCCGTACGCCACTCCTCTCGCAAAGCCTCCAGAACACATCCTAACATCTCATATCAGGCAATGCCCTTGCGCAATGTCTCCAGCAAAGCGATTGCGTGCTAATCCATCGAAATACGCCCGCCGACTGTCTCAGACCTCCGCTCGTCGACACACTGCCAACGCAATGTCAGCAGCTCAAGCACGGATACGGCCAATGCAAACGAGGACTGATCGATATGCGAAAACGATTCCGAGGCAACAGGCCCATCTCGACGAGTGTGGAGCTTGAGGGCGAAGGCAAGAGCACGATGCTGTATGCTGGGAAAGGCAGCTATCAGACAGCCGAGAAGAAGAAGATGGAGGAAGGAGACGAATACGAGGTTTTCACGAGAAATGATGGCAGTGAAGATTTGAGGAAGAAGTGAGCTGTGGGAGATGAACGAATACACGAGAAACGGTTTCGTGTCCGCTTGCAACAAATCAGTTGCGAGCGATATCTCAGTGGCAGACGCGGCAGCTACAAGCAGCTTGTTCGATGAGTTGAAGGCTGCACTTGATACGAATGGAATGCCTGAGGTGCGCCTATCTATATTAAGTCCAGCACGGCGCTCGCATCTCATGGCTCTCTGCTCAGGCCATCAAAGATTCCTGGAGATACTCCCACCCGCGCTTGCGCCTCCACTGCCGGATCATCACATCATATATCTCTCGCTCAACTCTCCTCCAGAGTTGTGGACTGTCCGCCGAGAAAGAAGGCCACCCAACGCCGAGAAATGAGCCACTAATCACGCATCAGCCATCGATCGTCATGAGCTGCCCATCCTCTCGACACCACCAAGGCTTCAGACTCTACCACGTTTCCAGGATCCCACGAGTCCGAGAAGGCAGAGATGGCGCCATTGCACAGCGTCCTCGAATACGCATACTCTTTGAGCATATCGCATCTCCTCGTCCTCCCACTGCTAGCTCTCGACCTGCGAGCTTCTTTGTAAGCCACAGTTCCGGTGCGGATTCCAAATATCTTGTGCAGCGCAACAGGCGGATCCTACTCAACAGAATTACGCCGAATATTTCCTTCAAAATGCCAGTCTCGATCCGAGGAAATATAGCTGGTATGCCACTTCCTATCTTCCGGTCCGGTAGGTTCAGGTCTCGTCGCCTCATCAAAGAAGTCCCCCATTGTAATCCCCTCATATCTTACAACCGCTGGTCTCAGACTTCTCTGCCATCTCCTCACAAGGTACAGGCTGGTACAAGGAGGTTGTGACAGGTACATCTTTCTCCAAGAAGCTTTCGGATACGAAACGCAAGGCGAAACATTCGGTTTCCCATCCGCTGGAAAAGAAATACAAACATCCCAACTCCAAGACTCCTGGGCCCCTCTCGTCGCAAACGTTGCCTGTTGTGAGCTCCCATCCGAAACAATCACCAATGTAATCGTCGGATAACATCCGGGAAACGCTCTAAGCAGTAAACGATTATTCTCAGGTTTCCTTCCAGGTCGATTGATAGGTGCACAAGCATCGAAAAGTCTGCCTTCAAGGTCCCAGTCTGGTTCGAGAAAGAGTTTGCGCCGCAAGCGCACGGAACCTTGGATTGTGGTTTGAAATGCTCGGGTTGTTCTTTGGCTGAGGAGGAGGTCTTTTGTGCCGAGGTTGAGGAGGATGAGTTCGAGGAGCTCGGGGATGTGAAGGACGCGGTGGACGGCGGTCATTGTTGATTACTAGGAGAAGAAGGATGTCGCTAGGCAGGGTAGCGTTCAAGAACAGAGATTAGCAGTACGGCTTTCTGGGTTGAAGCAAGAACTAAGAAGTGACTTGTGTGCAAGAGCAAGAGCGATCTAAAGTCGAAAAGCTTATCAAGGAGGAGGCCATTGGCCTCGTGAGTCGTGATGGTACCTTCTTAAAGAGCTTAGACGAGAGCTCCGGCACGTGAAGTGGAGGTGAGTGAGTGATGTCAGCATGCAGTGTGAGCTGCCCCCAGCAGCCAACATGGGGGGATCTGAGCGTGGGCACCACAGAACTGCCACCGAGCTTTTCGGAGCAGCGGCCATTCAGCAATACGTGAAGAGCAGTGAAAAGGGTCGCGATCACCAAAGCCGACATCTTCATCACATTCCATCTGAACATTCATAATTTTGCCCTTACTCTCTCCCAAGACAAGTCCCGCCACATCATCTGATGGCGTGCTATAGAATTTATACCTAATCCCCCTCAACATAGAAACGCCATATGTAGTAGCTCAGTGGTATCTCGCGAATACAAAAGGGGGTTCCCATAAAAACAACAACACATTCTCCTTCATGCCCTCCCATTCATCTTTTCCTCATGCGTGCGCATGCGTTCTCGAAGTCTCTTCTCGTTCCTGCACCTTCTCATTGAGAAGGAGCTCAACCACGATCTGAGTCTTCTCCATTTCAGGATGCTGCATCACCAACTTCAATGTCCTGTTTGGAGTGGTGCCCGCTGCTTTCCCGTTTACGCCAGGCACCGAATTTGCCCCAGCAGGCGCATTGGCGCTCCAATTCGTTCCGTCGTCAAGGCATTTCACTTCTCTGCCAGCAATGATCTGTTTCAGCCTTCCGTTCTGTGCATTCCGAATCTCTACAAAGTCGTTGTCGAAGAGGACAAGATACGGTCCGAACAGCGCTGCATTTTGCGCATTGCCGACGAAACGCATGATGACCGATCGTGAGACATCGCCGTGCTTGTTGATGTAGACAGCACAGTTCGCGTAGCAAAGCAAAAATTCCTGGTCGCTTAGTCGCAGCATGCGCAATGCGCGTTGGTCCTTGATATGTTGTGCGATGTTCTGCACATGCTCGGCGTTGAGGTCAGGCACTGACCACGGCTGTTTCTTGTCAAGCGTGAGGACTTCGAAGCCTCTTGCCGTACTGACAGCCAGACTTGAATGGAACAAGTTCATGCCAGTACATTCGGCTGGGATGTAGAACTCGTCGTACTCTCGGAAGAACTCGGTCGTCCCGCGCTTGAACATGCCTCGTTTCTTCTCACTCGATTTTTGATACACCGGCTCCAGCACCTTGAATACGGAATTAAGGTTCTCGCGTTTCTTGTAGAACACCAGTGTTCGATCTTTCATCTTGCCTGTGCAGAAGAAGCCGACATCTCGACTACCTGAGAGCTTCTGCGGTGCTTTGCGAGCGGAGTCGTTCGCAGGTGTGGGACCGTTTCGTTCGTTGGGAAGAATGACATCCAGGTGATACGCAATGAGCGACTTATCAGATATGAGCAGGAAGAGATTGAACTCTTCCAGGACTGCCACTTGTGTCACGCGAGACATGTTGATAGCCTGTGAAAATGGTCAGCGTCGTCTTTTCCGATCATGTCCACTCTACATACCTTGTTCCAACCGCGAGGGTTGTCCAGCTCGCTGACATAGACACCGTAATCCGTGCCTACGGCGACCAACTGTGCACCCAGAGGAGTGGTAAAGCTTGTAGCACAATTCACACGAGCTCTGCAAATTGGTCCTGGTCGGCCTGTATCTTTGAACTTGTGCTCGACTTCGTTGATCGCTCGATCGAGAGGCGTTCCTTTGATAGTGACACCTCTACCGTTGCCACCATAGGCATCGAGCACAAAGGCAGAATCAGCCATGACCCGCATCTTAAACGGCTCAGCGTTCTGCGCAAAAAGTGCCTTTGCATGCTTCGTCTTGGCTTCGAGGATCTTCTGGCACCAGTCTCCTCGCGCCTGTTCGGTAGGTGCAAACAGGGTGTAGTCATCCCGACCAAGATGCTTAACCCTGAATGGGTATAGAATCCTATCGGAATCCTTCTCATTGATCGAACTCACGGTATGCAGCGAGCTCATGGACTGCGCAGTGTTGGTATGCTGTAAGCCTCCAGGAGACGTCGAAGTAGTTGTGCCCATTCTGCCGAGCGCTGCAGGATCATTCGGTGTGCCTGTGCGGCCAGTCACGTCTCGCACTGAAGCGATGCCCTTAACATAGCTCGACTTCTGGACAGGTGGATCATTGGCACTCTCCAGGACAAGCAGATCCATCGGAATAGGTAGTCTGGAGACATCGTATCTGTCGATCTTGCTCTTGCCATCGCCCACTTGTTGCGCGACGGTCTTCGCAAGAATGAGATAGTGGTCGAAAAGCAAGGCGTGGCAGTCAAGCCAATTGAATCTGCTGCTTCCCATACGTTGCAAGTCGCCGCGATGTATCAGTTGGCGACCAAAATGGTCGAGATTGAGTTCGACTTCTTTTTGCATTCCTGGTCGCAGCACAAGCTTTGTGCTGAGGTCAGCCAGGTCGATCTTCCGTTGCATGTCTGCCACTCTCGCATCGCATTCTAGTGCAACAGCTCTCACTTCGGCGAGCGCGATCTGCAAATTGACCTTCTCTTGGCTTTCTTCTCTCATGGCTCTCAAAACTGTACTTAACAGCAGAGTATATCTTTGCAATCTTGAGATTGGAGCCTTGAGGAAGCTGTCGAGAGAAAGTCTGTTAGACCTCTTATCGTTTCTGCAACGCTCTGCGAAGTTCCTGAACTCGATGTTTCTCTCCATTTCTGTGCGCACCAGGTGGTCTGCTCTGGGGAACTCAGTCGCATAGTCCACGTAGGCTGTTCTAGCCTTTCGTATCCACTGACGGAAGATGTCGCTGAAGCCTGTGATCCATGGTCCTTGTTCGTGCTGCCTATACTTGAGTTGAGGCAGTAAGTGTTCTTCGTTCGCCATCTTCAAGCTGTCGACGCGACCAAAGACGTCCCGAATGAACTTATCTTTTCGATTTGGAGTTACAATGGACGGCTCTATTCGCATCAATTGATCCCTATACAGCACCCGAAGCACTTCGAGGTGGGACATGTAGGTCTCTTCGGTCTGAACAATCTCGTGTAAAACGTTTTGCTTCTCGACCTCTTTTCGATCGCGCCCTTCCAGATCTTCCTTTTTGAGTTTGTAGAACTCTGACCAGCTTTCTGTCGTGCGCACGGGTGCTGTGGCCAAGTTGACCTTTTTCAGTGTTCTCTGACAATGATGTGAGTAGCATCGCATCGTTGGTGTCAGATGCTCGTGGACTGTCGGCGAGTAACAACCGGACTGCGTTAGCTGGAATATGACGCCAGATATCGGACCGGGCACGAGCTTCACCCACTCCTCAGTAGTAATCAGAACATTGGCATCGTGCAGGTCTTGCACTACTCGATCACTGAGGCCTTCTGCATCCGCAATATTCATGGTCGGTACCTTGCTGGTGAAAAGGCTGACGAGAGCCTCTTTCACATCCGCTTCTTTCAGCTCGGTGGTCTGCTCCGGAGTCGTTACCTGCAGCAGCCATTTGAACAACGACGTTAGAGCCCACGGCTCTTCGCACTTCTTGAACTCGTTTGCACCAAGTTTTGATGCATTAAATCGTTTCGCGCCGATGGTCGGCAGGTCAACAATCATACTCGCACTAGCTGGAGTGGTCTCAGCGGTAGAGTACATAGAGCTCCGCGTCTGCTGTGCTCGAAGTCGTCTCTCTTCTGCGTCCGTTTTGGACCGCAGAGGTTGCACGACCTGCGGAGTAGTACTATGGCTCACCAAAGAGGTTGAGCGCGGGACATACTGACTTTGTGAAGCTCCTGCATATGCATCCGGGGCATATGGAGCCTGACCTGGAAGAGGTGGCAATGCCTTTGCTTCAGTCACCAGTGACGGGAGACTACCATTTTCCGGATAAGGCACAGCTGGTAATGGTCGCGGCGGATACGAAGTACTAGCCTGGTTGAAGAAAATGTCTGGAGGCTCATCGGGGAAACGATCCGGTAGCTGCCCTTCCATGAAAGTGTACTCATCGCCTTCGTCATAGCTCTGCCGTCGTCCGTCTGCTGTAGGCTCTGAGAGGCCACCAGTGCCGCCAACTTCCACGCGAGCCGCAGGATTAAACAATGGGTATCGTAAGGAGTCGGAGCGGTAGTCAAATTCGCCGCGACTTGACTGAGAAGCGTGAGATCGGCGCATTGAGCTGTGCTGGCTGGAAACAGTCTGGCTGAGCGATTCATGATTCAATTCGCCGCCAGCCGCCAGTTGACTTGGATCACCACCGTATGTCATTTGTACATCGTAGCCGCCCCCGAAAGAGCTCACGTCTACACCGCCATAATCGTCGCTGTCACTGGCTTCGTTTCGATGTCTGTTAGTCTGTGGAGAGCCAAGGCCATTAAAGCGTGATTGATTTGGTCCACTCTGTAGTCTCCGATCATCTTCCTCATCTCGTCTCATCATCGCAAGGCCCTGGGCCGCCTCCATATCACTGTCACTGCTATATTGCGCTTCGTGCGCGACATGCTGCGGCGCAATAGGTGATAAGTGTCCATTCACAGTGCCATTACGTGATGCCCGACTATCCTGCCGCGAGCTTAGAGATGTAGAGTGGCTAGGAGGCTGGAACGGTGCTTGGCTTATCGAGATCGAGGGACTTCTTTCGGTTGCTGAGGCACGTCCGGCATTCATCACGGCATTCTCGACCTCGTCAAACAAGTCGTCTTGCTCTTGATACTCGTTAGCTTGACTGCTGAAGCCAGTTGCCGCGCGAGAGGGAGGATGATTTTGGAAGTAGTCCGATTCAAAGCCTGGCGGGTCCGGAGGAAGCGGTCTACCCAACGTGTTTGTCCTCGAAATCCCATGTGCTGGTGGTGTAGGGCCCGGAGATGAGCTCGGCGGTGACGGTCTTGCGTCAGCAGGGTATTGTGGCGATACCGAGGGCTGACCTTCATAGTTTCCATGTGTCGGTGACGAGGGCAACCAGTGATCATCCGGACGTGATCCAGGCATCGAGGTCGGTATCGGAGGTTGAGCAGGCGCGCCCACGGAGCCAGGATGAGGACGGTACGGCAGACCAGTTGGACAAGGCACGCTCTGTGAATCTGATCGAGGCGGTACAGGCGGAGGAGCGCCCGCAGAGGCCTGTGTTTGATAGCCCGAGCCATAGCTTGGATATGTAGTGTGCTGAGGTGGAGGAGGAGAGCTTTGTGAGTAGCCATAAGGCTGCGAACTATAAGGTGACTGCGTGGTTGGACTGAACATTGATGCGCTAGGAGGCTGGGTGAAGGGTGATTGATTTTGTGAGGGAGATTGGCCAGAAGTTGGGTATGCGCCAGGTGATGGCGCATACCCATATGGATCTACAGGACCACTGGTGCTATGCAATTGCGTGTCGAGATATGTCCCCGGGTTATAGCTCTGAGAGTATTGGCCCTGCTGGAGGTTGGGACTATGCTGACTGAAAGTCGCATAGGCCGCGGGATTGTAGCTCTGCTGTTGCTGTTGCTGCTGCGGCGGTGGCGGCGGCTGGGCCGGCTGCGAATATGTCTGAGGATTGTATTGTCCATACTGCTGCTCTTGTCCATAGCTTTGTCCAAAAGATGTACTCCTTGGCGAGTGGTAATCTTCTCGATATGCATATTGATTCGTGGGCTGCTGTACTGGTCCTCCTCCTTGGTATTGACCATAGGTCGTTTGCTCGGCATACGCGTATTGAGTCTGCTGCTGCACTGCAGCTTGCTGTCCGTACTGGCCGTCGTGAGTACCATTCGGACCAGGCTGTTGATACTGATGCGGCTGGTTCGGGTGCTGATATTGGTATGGAGGTTGTTGCGGCTGTTGCTGGCCGTGACCTCGGCCTTGATAGTACGACATGTTGCGCGCAGTCTACAACGAGATGATGCGATCGAGGAAGATGCGGTATCGGTTCGTATTGCTAGGTCGGTCCGCAGGGCTCGTCGAGTAAGGCAGCTCCAGGCTGGGTCTGGGTGCTTTGCGCTGTCCACATTGGGCTCTGCAGAGGCCGCCTGGCAAAGTCGTGGCCGCCGTGTATGTCGCGGGAGTGTGTGAGTTGTCGGCTTATTCGAGGCACGCGTGTGGGAGGACGAGAAGGCGGGCGCGCATGGCTCGACTTGCGGTCGGATAGCACTGATGTGTGAGGGTGAGGGTGGGCGTGGGCGTGGGCGTGGGCGTGGGCGTCAGCCTCGTCGGCTTCGGAGGCCAGCAGTCAGTGCCGGACTCTTCGCGTTCAGCTCAACACACCAGAGCAAGACGCAAGGCAAGGCTGCACCATGACGAGACGTCGTTACGCCTGCCCGTCGTCACAGACACAGTCACGGCAGAGTGATGAGTACAGCGCATCCAGCCACGGCCTTCTGTCTACGCTACTCCGCGAGGCCGTACGTCAAATCCACAACCCCACTCACTCACTGGCCGAGGTCGTGTTCAGCTTGTAAGACGGTCAAGATAAAGATGTAGCAGTGCGTGAGTTGTATATTCCTACTATTGCTGTACTGATTATCCTGTTCGTTGACCTCTGAACACGATGGGAGTGAAGCATGATGCGCCGGCTAGCCTCTACGCGAACAACGACACCAACGATATCAGCCAGAACAACCCGACAGCCGAACGCGATGGAGAACTGATACCCGACGTAGATGAATACGGTTACAGAATCAGAGAACAACCATATGGAACGAAACGAAAAGTGAAGGTGATATTGATGGGTGCCGGTGCTTCGACTCTAAATTTCTTGAAAAAGGCGGAAGAACAGCTGCAGAACGTGGACATCACCGTCTACGAGAAGAATCACGATGTCGGTGGAACGTGGTTGGAGAATCGCTATCCTGGATGCGCTTGCGACATTCCCTCCGTCAACTACCAATTCTCCTGGGCAATAAAACTATGGTCGCATTTCTACTCCTACTCTCCCGAGATCTGGGAGTACATTCAAGATCTCTACCAGAAGTACGGCCTGTACAAGTTCATCAAGCTAAAGCATCAGATCAATCATGTGGAATGGGATGATGTTGAAGGCAAGTGGAGGCTCAAGGTCAAGAATCTGGAGACTGGCGATGAGTTCGAGGACGAAGCTGAATACTTCATCAATGCTGGAGGTGTGCTGAACAATTTTAAATGGCCAGATATACCTGGCATCAAAGACTTCAAAGGCAAGCTAATGCATTCTGCGGCATACGAAGAGGGATATGATCTGAAAGACAAGAAAGTCGCCGTTGTAGGAGCTGGCTCGAGTGGAGTACAGATTGTTGCAAAGATACAGCCTATTGTGAAGCAGCTATACCACTGGATCAGAAGCCCCATCTGGATCACGGCTGGCTTTGCTCAGACGTGGGCAGGCGAAGACGGAGCGAATTTCGAATATACTGAAGAGCAACGCAAGTTCTTGGAAGAGAACCCAAAGAAGTACATGGAATACAGAAAACAGATCGAGAACGAATTGAACCAGAGATTCAAATTCATAATCAAAGGTTCAGAAGAAGCCAAAGCCGCCCGCGAATTCTCCTACGATCAAATGGCTCGCAAGATGAATCATGACAAGCGTCTCTGCGACAAGATTATACCCAAAACCTTCAACCCTGGCTGCAGAAGACCAACACCTGCCCCAGGCTACCTCGAAGCACTTGTAGCCCCGAACGCCACGATCTTTACCGAAGCAATTGGCCACTTCACAGAAAACGGCTTTATCGACCAGGAAGGCAAACACCACGAATGCGACGTCGTCATCTGCGCAACAGGTTTCGACACTTCATGGCTCCCCCGCTTCCCTTTCCGCGCACACGGCCAAGACATCCGTGATCTGTGGAACGCAAGCGACGGTGTAACTTCATACCTCAGCGTCGCAATCCCTCACTTCCCCAACCACTTCTCCTTCTGCGGTCCCTACGGCCCTCTCGGACACGGCAGCTTCATGCCATTGATCGAACGCTGGACGCAATACATGTTCGACGTCATCGAGAAGGGCCAAGTGGAAAACATCAAATCTTTCACTCCGAAAATGGCACCTTGCAAAGATTTCCGTCAGCATGCGGATCTCTTCTTGCAGAGGACGGCTTGGACGAGTGCTTGTCGGAGTTGGTTCAAGCAGGGGAAGCACGATGGCCAAGCCGCTATATATCCCGGTAGTAGATTGAGTTTCTTGCATTTGATGGAGAGGCCGAGGTACGAGGATTTCGAGATTGAGCATTGGGATGAGAATATTTTTGCGTTTTTAGGAAATGGTGAGTTCATGTTGGGAAGATTGCGTGATGGGTTCCTTGGGACTGACTCTCTTGATTTCCGAATGTAGGCTTTGACACGCGCGAGTTCGATGGTAGAGATATTACGCATTATCTTGGAAATATTGATGAGCGAGGGAGAGATGTGCAAGCCGAGTATGGGGAGGAGCTGTTGAATAGGCTTGCTGGGTGGGCGATTGGGAAGTAGGTAGAGGAGGGATTGCATTTTCTCAAAAGAAGATGAGGTCGAATATCGCTCGCTACATATTCTACACTTTGCCGAAGCGGAAAGGAGCAAAGCCGAGGTGATTTCTTGGCCTCGTTATGTTCTCCCCTCAGTCGCCGTCGCGCCAACTTCGGCCTGAGACATTGGCGCACGACATGAGGCTGGGAGAGCTTCCCGATATCTCGTGCAGTGCACTGCAGTACACAGGTGTGAGACTTGATGCGATCGGGCGAAAACGGGTGTGGAGTTGTACCCAGATGGCCGCCAGCTCTGAGAGCAGCGCCGCCAGCAGGTTGGTCTGCTGAGCTTGATCAGAATGCAAAGACTGCAGGCGAGTGAGTCAAGCGCATTCTTGACCTTCCAAGCCTCAGCGCTGTGCCACCATAAGACTTGATAATAAGAGTGAGGTTCAGTTGGCCGCACTCCACCTTCACACCATCGTACGCCATGACTTACGGTATACACTGCGGCAAACGACCGGTAAAGAGCGGCCTCTTGTCATCCGAGATACTAATCGCAGCGGCAAGCCAAGCCAGCCGAGCCACCTTCGAATCGTCGTGAACCAGTGGCGAGCGTGGGAGCGTTGCATTCGGCTTTGGGGCTCCAGATCACGGCCTTGTGCTCCCTTCCCTGTAAGTACCTGCGGGCTTGGCTATCGCGTGCTCCAAGCGATCTGCTTGGCATTGGCCAGGCCAGCGGCTGCACTTTAAACATGCGGCCGTCTCGCTGACCTGTTTGCCGCAAGAGCATTGGGATTTGGGGAATCATCATCATCATCATCAGTGTGCCGCTGCCAGGAGCCGTTCGTTGTTCTTCACAAGATGCCGCTGTTCGGCCCGAAGCGAGCCTCCATATCGGCGGAGCATCAAGCACGAACGACGCACGAGGAGAAGCTGCCGTACGAGTATCAGCAGTATGGAGCCGAATCGCCCGTCACGGACGTCGGCGTCCTCAGTGATCCCAACGACGCTCACCACAGCTTGCACAGAGGCCTCGCCGCGCGCCAGGTTTCAATGATTGCAATCGGAGGTACGAACGCAGTGGCAGTGCCTTGAGACCAGCCCCATGTCTGATACACTCGCTGATTGGGCGCGTGACCCTTCCAGGCGCCATCGGAACTGGTTTGATCATTGGCACTGGATCGGCGCTCGCGAAAACCGGCCCTGCGTCGATCCTGATCTCGTATACTCTCGTTGGTATGCTGGTATACGTCGTCATGGCCGCTCTCGGTGAAATGGCAACCTGGTTGCCTGCTGCTGGCGGCTTTGCTGTCTATGCCTCTCGATTTGTTGATCCTGCTCTGGGTCAGTGACATGGCTATCTTTTCCACTCGTGCACACCTGGCTGACATCGACAAGGCTTCTCGCTCGGATACACATACTGGTTTAAATATATCATCACCACTCCCAACCAACTCACCGCAGCAGCGCTTGTCATACAGTATTGGCTGCCCGCAGAAAAGGTCAACCCCGGCGTCTGGATTACCGTGTTCCTGGTAGTCATCATAACGATCAATGTGCTCGGCATCAAGTACTTCGGAGAACTCGAGTTCTGGCTCTCATCCGTCAAGGTCCTGGTCATCATCGGCCTGATCATTCTCTCGCTCGTCATTGCCCTCGGAGGCGCCGATGGCGATCGCAGAGGCTTCAGATACTGGAGCGACCCAGGAGCTTTCAAGGAATACGTTGGCAAAGGCGATATTGGACGCTTCACGGCAGTCTGGCAGAGCATGGTCACTGCAGTTTTTGCCTATCTCGGAACGGAGCTGGTCGGCGTGACTGTTGGAGAGGCACAAAACCCGCGCAAGAACATCCCTCGCGCCATCAAGCTTACCTTCTGGCGCATTGCCATCTTCTACGTCGTCTCCGTCATCCTTCTTGGCATGACTGTTCCATACAACAGCGACCTGCTTGCCTTCGCCACCAAATCGTCGACCTCTGCTGCAGCCTCGCCCTTCGTGGTTGCTATCAAGCTCGCCGGAATCGACGTCCTACCGGGATTCATCAACGGCTGCATTCTCATATTCGTGTTCAGCGCATCCAACTCCGACCTGTACATTGCCTCACGTACCCTTCACGGCTTGGCCTTGAAGAACCACGCTCCTGACTTCCTGGCCATTACCAACAAACGCGGTGTCCCATATTACGCCCTCGGACTCTCGTCTCTGATCTGCTGCATCGCCTTCATGAACGTATCGACCTCGTCCAAGACAGTCTTTGGCTATTTCGTCAACCTGGTCTCCATTTTCGGACTCCTCACCTGGATCTCCATTCTGGTCTCGCACATCTATTTCGTCAAGGCCAGACGCGCACAAGGTGTTCCAGACGACAGCAGCCAGCTTCGATACAAGTCGCCCTTTGGCCTGTGGGGAAGCTATGTCGCTCTCGCATTCTGCTGTCTTATCGCCTTGACCAAGAACTTCACCGTTTTTGTGCCGAGTCCATCCAGCTACGGCAACTTCGACTACAAGAACTTTATCGTGAGTACACCACCCTTCATATCTCGGGTTTGATCTATTGCTGACCGTGATCCAGACTGGCTACCTCGGAATCCCGCTCTACCTCATCATGATCGCCGGTTACAAGTTCATCAAGAAGACTCACGGCGTCAAGCCACACGAGGCTGATCTATGGACTGATAAAGATATCATTGATGCCGATGAACAGGAGTGGCTCGCGAAGGAAGCTGCTGATAGAGCCAACGGCCGCGATGGCTCATGGCTGTACAGGCACTCAATTGGCTACATTTTCTAGATAGATAGCCCTTTCGAAAGCTCATTGTGCTTGCCATGGAAGGCACGTGTGAAGCATTCTCCAACTCTCATGCTCGCTGTCACCTTGATCAGAAACTTCCTCCCATCGAACGGACCAATAAACAAACCAGGTGAAGGAAATTACAAAAAAAAAAACCAAATCTCGAAACCCACCCAGCCTTTCCATCCATCATACACCGTTCAAACTCGTCGTGTCAATTCCTCACTTCCAACCCACTTTTCGCACCCATCTTTCCCAGCTCAAATCTCCATCATCTCATACTCCCCATGCTCAACATCAACGAGAAACCCTATCAACATCAACCTGAAACGCTTCGTCGAAAGAGGAGAGTCTGCAGACCACTTCTCGCCTGTGTGTCCATGCACACTCGTGTCTGGCGGCGGTAATGGTAACGCAGTAGCGATCTCGTTCGATTGGGGGGGTTTTTTTTGGATCGGCGTTGTGCGAAGTTCCCCAAGTCGCGAATCTGGATTGTCCTAAGCTGGCTGAGGAGATCGGGGACGCAGTGGCTTTAAGTACCAAGTTTTTTGAAAAAGAAAAAAAAAATCGGAATCGACAGACTTTAGAGGGTTCGAAGACGGGAGACCAGAAATATTCGAGGTGTGCGGTCGGTCGGTCGTCGATATTGACGAGTGTATGTATGTATCATCGCTGCACTGGCGTGCGATGTCAAAAAACCATTCGTGTGTGGAACAAGTTCTGGGGGGAAAAGCCAGGCAGCCTTTTGCGTTCAAAGTCATGGCGGATGTACGAGTGTCCCAGAACGGTTCCAAGGTGCCAGGGCTTCTGGATTCAGAAGAGAGCAGCCATCTCTCCGGTCGGAAGGCCTCCGCATCCGGACCATAAAGCTCTTCGTTACGATAAAGTACCTTCATAGAAGTTCCGACCTTGGTTCCTCCAGGGACATAGTAGCCGCATATCGTGTCACCTTGTGGAGGCGTCAACTTCGACAGCTCAGCAGCCACCGCAGGGTACCAACGCAGGCCTTCCTTGATCGTAGCCTGCAAGAGAGGAAGAAGCTCGTGAGCCTGGTTTGCGGAAACGATTTTACCTTCTGGAGGCAGTGCTCCGCGTGCGACTGCATCGTCAATCTCGGCTGTCAGCAGTCTATAAAGTCGAGGCGACGCCATGATATTCAGCATTGTTGCACGAATGGTGCTCGCTGTCGTGTCAGAGCCAGCAGTCAGATTCAGGATAGCCTCTTCTTTCGCTCGTTCATGAGACAGTCCATGACGAATAAAGCTGCCCAACATATCAGACCTCATCTCGTCTTTCGGGCGCCCGTCAGGCTGAAATCGCTTCTCAACTTGTTCTTAAGCGATGCGCTTCACCTTCTCGACACCCGCTCGTCCACCTGCAAATCTTGCGGCCATTTGCAAGAGACCGATGTCAGTCAAAAACTTGACGAGCCCTGCTACGGGGGCAATCCAGGTGATACTTGGAAGCAGATTCTCAATCTCGGCGATATGTCCGTGATTGTCTCTGTCGTCCGTAAGGTCGTAGAATTTGGCGTCGAAGGCCACTTTACTGATGATGTCCAAGACCATGAAGCTGATCTTCCTCGCTAGATGCATTGGTTTGATGTTGCCGGCTGTAGAAGAGTACTTGTTGTCGATTAAATGACATAGTTCAAGAATTGATTCATCGACATCGTTCTCCAGCGACAAATTCTCCTTACCGGAGTAGTGGGCCGTCATTGTTTTGCGTAGGTCATTATGCGCGACTTCATTTCTTGTCGAAAACAAGTGATCTTTTCCAGGGTTCAGGCGCATTGCATAGTAGTTCATGCTCCTGCGACATGGTGACTGCACAGCAGACATCTTTCGGATGACTGTCTCCTTTTAGAAGCTCCGTGGATGCCCCAGGTTCTACTATATATGGCAAGAACCGGCTCTACTGCGGAAGCAGCTAGCAAGCTAGCTCTCGTGCCTTCCGCTAGAGGTCTGAGAGGAGACAGTCGAATGATATCGGCATCACAAGTGATGACGGTATTTGGACCGACCCGAACCGAAGGGCCATAGCGTTTGCTGAGCTGATAATATTGGTCCATCATGTCGGGCTTCAAGTGCACAAGCACCCATGGCATAACGGTCAAACCCCATCCTGGTGGTCCAGGATGTGTGACAATCGCCGATACGATCGGGCCCAAGAAGCGAGATAGAAGGCAGTGGCCAGTCCTAAAACGCCGATAAGTAGCAATTCTGAGTAGAGTGAAATTGAAGTTGACATTTTAGCATCCAAGCAGTCAAGACTGTTCGTGCAGAACATCTGGGAGAGAGCTTAGTGATTCTGCAAAAGCCCTCGGTATACTGAGGCTCGCTCGCCAGACTAGAACTAACTTTGGAAAACCGAGGCCCCCCGCCCGGACCCCTAGCATACCCCGACCTTACGTCAAATTTTGGGTTATCTGGATAAAGCCTGCTAAATCGCCTACTGGAATATTAGATGTCGGGTCACACTTAGGCTTAGGCTCGGTTTAGGTAGCAGTCTCGAGAGTCTAGACTCGCTTACTATTTCTACTCGATTACCTATCTATACTAAAGTTTATTATTCGTATCTAGATACAAATTTCCGTAAAACAAATTAGCCGAGCACGCGAGTACTAACTAACTAACTAATTATACCTTAAGTAAGTTTATATATATATAGAGAATATATAACGCGTTAGCTTAGTTATATAACTATTATATAACTTCTTAGTATATAAAGATTTTTTATACCATATTTTAGCCTATAGAATAGAACGGTAGAGGGCAATAAATAAAGCTAATTTAAACTGCTAGCAAGGTAGTATTATATAAGTAATCTACTACGCTATATGTAATAGTTATAAGCCTAGATTATTTAATCCGTAGTATTAGCGACTTCTATAGTAAGAAAGAATTTTCTATTCTACGAGACCTTTAGTAATCGATAGTCCTAACGGTACTAAGAAACTATTTAACTAAGCTTCTATAACTTAAACTGTTTTTAAGATTAGTATATAATAAGGGTAGCGTCCTTAGTTTAAGTTATCTATCCTAGTTCGTTAAATCTATTTAACTAATATATATTTACTTAATCCCTTATCTAATTAATTAGAAGCTACCTATACGATTGCTATAACAACTAATAGTATAATATAAAGGGCTTAGTATAATTAAACTAACCGTACGATACGAGTTTGTAATAGGGGTTATATTAGCAGGTAGATAGGGTAGTAGTAGGTACGAGTAGTATTCGATAAGGAGCTAGAAGGAGAGGGAGGAAGGTAGGCAAGTTAGCCTACTACTAAGCGCTAAGCCCTACCTAAGGCATTAAGACCCTAGCTTTACTCGAGCCCGGTTATATACCAATTACGTATAACCTCTTTAGTCCTAATATACGCTTCCCTTCTAAAGGCCGCGCCCTCGTAGCCGGTCTTTGCTCTAATCTTAACCTCTACTACTGCTAACTTAGTAGGTCTAATAAGCCGCTTAGTCCGCGCTAAATTAAACGTACAACTACCGATTATGTAACGATATTAAATCTCACTTCTAATATAATACAATGCTTAACTCTAACTGCGCTATCCTTGTATATAATAAAGTAATATATAACTAAGAGAATTAAGGACTATCGACTAATTATAATACGAGCGCGTCTTCCCTACTATAATAGGTAGACGTACGAGGTATTATAGTACTACCTCTGTTCTAAGTAATGTCGTACCGAGTTCTTTGCGTCTACTCTTAAAAGACCTAGAAATATCCGCTCCGAGGGTTGTTCTTATTATTACGAGAGCTATTATTGTTCGTAGTTTCGCTAGCCCTAATTAGTTAGGTTTAGTAGCCTTTAATTGTTAATCTTATCTTATTTTTTTTAAAAAACACAGTTTATCTAGTTTCTATAGGTAAAGGCTATTATAAGTGTAATAGTTAAGGTTCGCCCTACTTAAAGGATCAGAAAGATCGAGGAGTAACCTATTATCTACAAGATCGACCCCGGCTAGCTTAGCTCTATAGTTTTGCCCTTAGTTAGTTAGTCTATTAAACTACTCTATCCTTTAAGCCTTAATGTTTTAACTTAGCCTTAAAGTTTTAATTAAACCCTTAATATAGCTATTCTTTTAACTTAACTAGTATAGTACGCTTCTGTCCTTAGGCCGTAGTATAGGTAAGGTTATCTTAGTAGGCGTAGCGACAATAGCAAGTAATATTAACAATAGCGGCGCTAGCCGCCTTAGCGCTAACTTTACCTTGCTTCTAATTTCCTTCTTCGACTAGTAACGCTTCTACTAGCAACGTACTCCGTAATACCGTTACTAATATAGCCGCGCCGGCTGCGCCGTCGTTATTATTATTATTATCTACGCGCGCGCCGTCCTCGCCGATCGCCTAGGCCTCGAGGCCTTAATAGAATAAAGGATTAAAAGAGGGACCTAAATACTAAGAAAAGGGCCTTATTGCGTTAGTAAAGACGTAGAACCCTTAAAAGAGTATATAATTAGTCGACGCGTTATAGCGCGCTTATTAACACTCGGTACGCGTTTACGATAGTAATATAGTCTTATTGTCCTAGTTTGCTAGCCTCTAATTAGTTAGCTAATAGCACCCTAGGGGTAGCATTGTTCCTAGGCGACATTATAGGCCCTTAGCCTTCTTCTTATTCTTTATACTAGTCTAATACTTATCTAACAACTTAGCTATATCCTTAAAGGAGCCTTTAGCTTCCTACGAGTCCTATTTAGGTAAATAGCCCTACTATCTTAAGAGGTATTCCTTCTTGCCTTACCTAGTCCGGTGCTTTAGAATACGTTCTATAGACTATAGCTCTTCGCTATTAGCTAGTATGTCCTCGGATTTAGTAGGTGCTTTATCCCCTTCGCGTAGGTAGTACGGCTTAAGGAGGGATACATAGAAGGTATTATAGATAGTATAATAAGGTAGAAGCTATAACTAATAGGCCTATACGGAGGAGCCTTTAACTTCTTAGATACGGAATAGGCTAATATATCTCGGTACGAGCTTAGGCCTTGTTTTGCCGTTAGGTAACGGGTGTTTGCGGATATAGAGGTTCTTAGTACTTAGTATAACTAGGTCGCCTTGCTTAAAGGTTATTAGCGTATAGTGCTTGTTATAGTAGGCCTTCTAGTAGGCCTAGGCCTTTGCTAGTTTGTTAGCTATTTTAGCGTAAATTTCTCGCATCTTTTAAACCCTCTTAATAGCCGCTAGTATTTTAGGGGCTTAACGCGCTTCCCTTTCCTTACGCTCGGCCTCGAGCGGTAGGGGGTCTTATAGTATAGCAGCGTTCTAGCCTATTATAGCTATGTATAGTAACACCTTAGTTAATAAGTAGACACTGTTATTATATACGAATTTAGCTAGTTATAGGAGGTTAACCTAGTCGTTAGGGTTCTCGTTAATGTAACTACGTAGGTACTGCTATAGGGTAGCATTCTACCTCTCTATTTGGCCGTTAGTCTATAGATAGAAGGCTGTTAATAGCCGATGCTTTAGTCTTAGCTATAGGCATATTTCGCTCTAATAGTGCGATATTAGTATCGGTCTACGATTAGACACTATCCCCTTAGGGGTCCCCTAATAGGTATAGAAGATATTGTTCTATAGCGCTTCTGCTATATTAATAGTAGTCTAATCTTTCCGCGCCGGGATATATCGAGCGCCTTTAGTAAATCGATCTACTATAACAAGGATAGCATTATACATATCCTTGCTACCCCTACGCTTAGTAGGAGGAAGGCCTATAATAAAATCTATTATAAGTTCTACGAATAGCTTCCTAGGAACAGGAAGTAAAGACAACTCGCTAAATAGTAGGTACTTTAGTGCTTTAATACGCTAGTATACTATATAGGTCTGTACGTATTCTTTTATATACCGCTTACTATTTAGCTAGTAGTATATACGCAATAGTAGCTCCTGCGACCTCTCTATACTATAGTAACTAGCGAGCTTACTATTATAGTGCCTCTTTAAAAGCTCTTATCTAATCGATTGTTTAGCGGGGATATAGTATCTGCCCTTAAACTTTAAGTAACCCTTATCGTCGATTGACTAATTATTATTACTCTTACTAGATCGAGTCGCTCGCCTACTTACAAGCCTATTAATACGTTTAATAGCAAAGGCGTCCCTCTACTAAGCACGCAATAGCTTATCTATAAACGATTAACTATCCCTATTTGCAAGGTTATTTAATAGTACCCGTACTATCGAACGAGATACGTATTATATATATCTAATAGCACTAGTAGCCGGAACTACTATAACCTCTTCTATAGTACTGTCGCTATATAGGCTATTACTATAGATAGCAATGTCTTTAATCGAGTTATTATAGCTCGAGCGATCTACGTCCTTTCTTTTAACGTATACTAGAAGAACGACAACTCCGCTATAGTATTCGTTGCCGCCGCGGGGTCCGGAGGTCCGCTTATCCTACGCTTGCTTATTAATAATATAGGCTATAGCAATCTTATACTATAGGGTTAGAAACAAAGAATTGATATATTAGGTCTCGCTATCGTAATTAGGTCGCCTCGATAGGCTATCGGTAGGGTTACTTACGCCTAGCTAGTATAATATATTAAAATCGAACCTAGCGAGGTAGACGGCCTATCTAGCCTATCGACCTATAACCCTAGTAACCTTCGTAATTCTACGGAGGTTGTTATAGTCTGTATAGACCTAGATTATATATTAAGCCCTATCGAGGTAGTGCCTCTAATACTTAAAGGCCTCGATAATAGCTAGCAACTCTTGCTCGTAGGTCTCGTAACGACGCTCTATATCGATTATCTTTTATAAAAAGAAGGCAATCGGGTGCTAATAGGTGTTATTAGCCTATTGTAATATAATAGCTAATATAGCGAACTGTAAAGCGTTAGTCTTAATACGGATCTGCTTACTTAGTATAAAATAGTATAATAGGGGGACTTTAGTAAAGCGTTGCTTTAGACCGTTAAAAGCGGCTTACGCTCTGTTAGTCTACTTAAACTCCCTAGTTAGGTTGGCCTTAGTTTTAGTAAGCTTAGTTAGGGGCATTACGTATCGCGAATAGCTCTTAATA